GGGGGGGGGGGGGGGGGGGGGGGGTGGCTGGGTGTGCGGAGGGAGGCATGCCTGTGCAGTTAGTTGCGCATGGTTGAATGGCTCACATCCATCGGCTGACCGGCTGGCTGAGGGCCTCTTTTTCGTTGGGCAGGCAAAGAGGACATGGAGGACACACACGTAGTGGGGGACGTTAAGGCAACGCGCCGTTTTTGGCGCGTGGGGAGGGGGAAAGTGGCTGGCTGGCTGGCTGGCCGGCTGGCTGGCTGATTGGCTGGACAGACAGTGTCGAAGCACTGCAATTCATCCGTTCATTCAAGCCACGTGTCTGTCTCAATGCAAAGCGTCTCGTTGACGCACCCGCCCGTGCAACAGGCCTTACACTCGTGTCGGGATGACGCGCACTCGTCAGCTGTACACAACAAGCGCTTCACATGCCGTGGCTGAGTGGCCCACAGACATACGCACACCAAAAATTGCACCAGCAGGACGCTCACAACAAACACATTTCAACCAACCCTAGCGGCCGACCAGCCACCAAACCACCACCAAAATGCTGTCTATGTATTCCGGCTCAGCTTCTATAACCATAGCAGCTGCTCACATCCACACACATGTATGTAACTCGACTCACTCCCTCACTATGTGTAGACCATCTCTGCCGTCACGCCCGCAGCGTCCCGATTACTCACGAACCGCACCCATCGCGCCACATAGCCCTCAGGGAGAGCCACCTCCCGCCCCTGAATCCCCGCCGGCACCGTGACCGTCGTGAACTCATCCCACACGCCCGTGCCCGCCACATCCACCTCTATCCGAACCTCCAGCGGCTGATCTCCTGCGGCTTCATTGCAGGAGAGGCTCAGAGCTTTCTTGTCGTACCCATACATAAGGAACGGGTCTGACGGGACGCCCTTCTGTACGCTGCTGTCCTTCCAAGGCCCGCCCCGGCCGACCGGCTTGCCCAGCCTCCACAAATCGTCGACCACGCCGAACCACAACGCGCCGCTCGAGCCGTCTTGCGACGTGACAATGGGCGAGTTGGTGGTGGCGGTGCTCAGCACAAGACCAGAAAGGACGAGCATTCCCCGCCACGAGCAGTAATCATAGATGAGCCGGTTGTGCGTCGAGATAGGTTTCATAAGCGCAAGTCCCCCAGAGATCTCCCGCGGGACCTCAAAGAAGGTCCCAGCTGCGTTCAAGAGGAACCGCTCCGTCACCACCTCGCGAAATCCCCTCCCATACAGGCCGGAAAGCTCCTCTTTCTCCCATAATGGGTCGCCAGCCGGCAGGCGAAAGCGCTCGCCTCTCTGGTTGACGAGCAGGATCGATCCTTTGTCAATGAGAAAGTCGCGCGGGCCGTCCGGGGACGTCTGGTCTGCCAGTATGCCGCGAAAGGTGCTCACTGCACTTCCTTTGAGGGACGCCCGCACATCACCGACCTTGGTCAGCTGAGAGAGGGCGGCGGAGTCGTTTTTCCGGAGCAGCTTCATGTCGGCGCCGATCTCGTAATAACTGCTCCACGGTGGCAGTGAAGGTGGAATGGGGGCTGGTGAGGTGATGGTCCTGCCGGCGTACTCGAGCGTTCTTCTGTTCCCGCCCCGAGGTCGAATGACGCCATAGGACATGACGAGACCTTCAGAGGTCAGCACGTCGTTGACCGTCGGGATGGACGCGAAGAGGCCCTCTGTGTCGCTCTGCAGGGCCTCGCGAGTGGCGCTCGATGCCGAATGATGGAAGAAGACCGTCACGTTGCACCCACCGCACCCCTCCTCGCCGGTGTCCTCATCCCTCACCCGTGCTCGTACCCACTCGCCCTTCGCTGCAGCATCGAAGATCAGGTGGCCATACCGCCGCCGCTCGGAAGCCTTTTCCACCCGCAGAGTGTCGAGCGCCTCCCATTTGTTGTCGCCGGCCTTGTCGACTTCGAACGTGAACAGCAAGGCATGGGGCGAGTTGTGGGACACGTGCACCATGCGCCTCTCGTAGCCTGCGAAGAGGAAGGGCACACTCACGCCGTCCTTTTCGTCTCCTGATGTGGCGAAGTCGAGCGGGTCGGTGGTGGGCGGCTCGTTCAGCCAGACGGCGCCCCCGCCCTCCCTGGGGCCGCCAACCTCTCCGCTGAGAAGCTTCTGAGGACTGACGAACCAGATGTTGGAGTTGGACTGGCCGACGAGGGGATTCTGGAGCCTGTCCGTCCGACACACAGACACACACGAGCACACACCGCGTGGGTACTCTGGTCCCCCAGGTACGCATACATGCACATGCTCACTTGGATGCGTCGTCACAAGCGAAGACGGCCTCGCCATCCATGACAGTCCAGTCGACGACCATCTTGACGTAGCTCGACAGGGGGCGCAGCCCACCAGATGACTTGGGATGGAACCGGGGCGGGAAGTGCCAGAAGGTGCCGTGCATGGTCATCAAGTAAGGCGGGGCTGAGGAAGGAGAGGGAGGCGGGTCACCCAGCGGCCTGATAATGTACAAGAGGCCAATGTCCATGTCACCCAGAGCGACATTATATATTGTACCTGATGCGAGGCCACTCGGTGTGCCAGCCGTGTTTGCCATCGTACGTATGGGAGGCCTGGAAAGACATACATACACACACGCACAAACACGTGACACACACACACGTGTAAGCGAGAGAGGACGGACTGACTACAACCTCACTGGCCTTAGGCAGTCGGTATGTCCGGTACACACCGATGGGCGTCGGGTGCTCTGGCTGGACGTCGCGCACTTTAAGGATGACGCTCCTGTGGTCCCAGCCGGTCACCCACACGCCCTCGCCCTCCCCGTAGATGCCGCCTGACGTCGCCACCTCGGTGAACTGGTGACGCGCAATTACATCAAAGCGCATCGGCGACCCAGCGTCACCCTCGCCCGTCTGTGAGGCCTCGACGAGCACGCCTGCAGGGCCGGGCACCGTCCTGATGTGGCGTGACCATGGAGAGAGGCAGCAGGCAGTCACACAGGGGTGTGGTGTGATGTGGTGCTGTGTGTACCACTGGCTGTTTGTGGCATCCGGGCTCTCGCCATTGTTGGCGATGATCAGGCGACCTCCAGATGAGCATGCACCCTGAGTAATCCAAGACAGGCAAAGGAAGACCGACAGAAGACCTCAGCTCCACAGCACAGCAACAACCGAGCCGCTGTCTGTCTGTGTCCATCAGTCACCTTGGCGTGCCATCCAGGGTACCAAGGTCCAAGCACAGGCGGGTCAAGCGTGCGGCCATCCTGCAGCAGCCTCGTCACATTCAGCGACCGCACATCAACCGAGTAAAGGCCTTCCTCCATCGACACGAAGAACACATGTGTCGCCGGCATGCTTAGATGCCGCGCCGTGGCTGTGAGACGCCCAGGCATAATGGCCGGGTCGATGCTCCTCACGGTGCCGTCCTTGGCGATGACGTACGGGCCCATGATGAGCTGGTCGGTCTCCCGATGAATGAGCCTGTTGGCGTGTGTGCCGCCGACCGACTCTTTCCGGCGTGTGATGTTGAGGCTCACGTCGATCTCATAGAGGCCGTCACTGCTGCCGTGCCACTCGCATGGCGGATATGTCTGAATGAGAGAGAGAACAGAGAGAGGAACAGATGAATAGTCAGTTGTGATGTACATGTGTGCTGTGCTGCCTTATCTCTCTGTCTGTGTGTCCGTACCATGATCCACAGTCGTTCAGCCCAGTTGACGATGCCTCCAATGCCACACTCGCCATAAGTGTTGTAGACGGCCAGGTGAGGATAAACGCCACTGAAGCGAGGGAAACCGAGGGCCCGTCGGTCCTTTGCAGGGCCGCCTTGCAACCGCCATGGCTGGATGCTCCCATCCTCCACCTTAATGCTGCCACTTCGACCGCTGAGGGACAGCAGGCCATATCTCGTGATCAGGATGAGAGGCGAGAGGGCGGCGAGGAGCGCCAGGCAGCCGCGCAGTTGGAAAGGCCAAGGCCACCCGATGCCCATCGGCCCTTGCTGCTTGGGGCGCGCCTTCTTCAGCGCTCGCTTCAGCGTGGACGTTGCTGTTGCAGCTTATTCCTCTTCCGATGGAGTGGTGCGTCAAGGTGATGCGCTCTTACAGAGCGGAGGTTGAAGCTCGCAAATGAAGATCGCTGAGTCGATATTCGTGCGGCCTTTTGCTCCAAGCCCGAGGCTATTTGCGGCAGGACCTCGACAGCATGAAGGCCACCAATCGCGAGCTCCATCCGATGGTTTACAGGTGAGAAATCCCGGCAGCGCGTTTGCGTATCCAGTTGCGTATCTGATCTGTGCAGCACTGTGTGTTTGCAGCTGCATCTTGCTGCTGCAGCCCGTGCTTGCGGTGCTGATTGCGCTGCCCTTCACGGCCTCGCACACCTTGCAAAGCGTCTGCACGTCGCACCCCTACCTGTACGTGTGTGAGCGATGTCCGGGAAAAAATAAACGCTAAAGCAATCACGGCTTCGATGCCCTCCTTTGCAGGGCGCTGATCTGCTGGGCGGTTTGCGCATCTGTCAACCATGTGCAGATCGAGTAGGCATTCAGAGAGGAGAGGAGAGAAGGGAAGCAACCACCTGATGACTGGCGTTGCCTTCTGAAACACGGCGGGTCCTTCGTTCCATCGTCCTTGTGGCGACGTGTTCCCAAGGGGGCATTGGCTGAGGGCATCGCCTGTGGCATACTCTGCGCTGTGTTCCCAATCCAGAAGGACGGCCAAGGTGGTCAGCCTCGTGCTTCCAATGTCTTGTCTGTGTCGTGTGATGGTGAGTCTTACGATGTGCTGGTCTGCTTGTCTGGATGTGTCTGCAGCCTTCTCTCCGTTTCTGCTGCTGGTGCTGGCGCTGGTTTGCGTGCTGACCGCAGTGGCTGGAGCTGCGCTGACGGTCAATAGCCGATCCCTGACAGGTAGCTGAGAATGCACTGAGTTACAGACGAGGCACATGCGCGACCGTCCCTTGCCTTGTCATGCCTTCCTCCTTACATCAGGCCACGCAGTGCTTCCCTGCTACCTGACACACGGCGTGATGCTGCCATGCATTACGACGTTTTACGGCACTCTACTGCTGGTCACACGACTGCTTGGGAATGTGAGGGGAAGTGTGAGGGAAGCAGAGCTTGGAATGCTTCACCTGCGCTCTCTCTGTGCCCCGTAGTCGGTGTTCCTGCTGCCTCTCCTCCTGACAGGAGCTTTCCTCGGTGCGGGGCCACATCCTTCGCTAGTCTTGGTGTCAACGTGCGGCGAGTACCATCACATCCCCGTGATCACGTCCGGCACCTCTTGGGTATTCGTCGTCTTCCTGCTGGTGGCGAGCACGGCATAAGAAACCGTTGAGCCAACCAGTATTGTAGCAGAGAGAAGACAGACAGCGATCATGGAGTGAGAAGGACGATTGATTGATCGATATCGCTCTTGTCGTTGTCTGACACGTACGTGTCCATCCCTTTCTGACTGATGTGTGGCCCAGTCAAGCGTCACATTCAAACCGGCACACACTGTCAGTGACGTCTTAAACCAACAGCTCTCCTCATGGAAGACAGGGACATTAGCACATGCTGCCTAAGGAGGCCCTCCTGTACCATCTATATGAATGCCCTCGAGAAGGGGAACGAGAAGTAGGGGCACATGTCAGCAACAGAGCCGTCCGCGTTGTACTTGTCCGGATCGATTGCATGCAGCATGAAAAACTTGACGAATACAATGTGCTCGTACTGCACACATCGCAGACAGAGGAATACAGACAAATCAAAAGCCAAGGCAACGCATCGTCCATTTGTTGATCGATCGGTACTGACATAATGATAAACTCCAGAAGGCATGTCCAGACCTCGGCCTTCACGACACCTGGCTCGTCTTCTGAGCGCAACAGCGGCAGATTGTTGATCCGGACCATCCAGAGCACATGAAGGGTCTCGAAAGCGCCCTCAACCACCAGCAGCACGATCAGTCCGGCGATGCCGGTGAAGAAGCTGGCAAGAGAGGCGTCTTTGTCCCATATCTGATTGGTGACCAGAACCATCAGATTGGTAAAGACCAAGAGCATCATTTCAGTCGTCGACCATCTGCGTGAACCCACAAAGACATAAGGAGAAAGCGTGATAAAGGTGGATCGATTTCATGTGTGTCTCTTACAGCCGGATTTGGCTCGAGAGGGCGCGCATGTACCGGGGGCTGACCTCTAACGAGGCAAATGCTGACTGCATGCTGGCAGCTGGAGCAAGAGAAGAGGCCGACCTGCTGAAGGTCTCGCGCATGGAGAGCACTGTCGTGGTGATTGCTGTGCTTTGACATGTCAAAAAACCATTTCCACTTCTCTTGCCAGAGGCCGCCTTGCCATGCTGACGGTTGCTCGTCACCGTGTCTTGCCGTGTCTCCCCGAACACGGCTGCGTCTCTAGTGCATCGACCAGACTTGAGAAATCTCCGAACGCCGAGGCATAGCAAAGCCCCTGCATACGGTAAGTGGATCGATCTCCATGTATGCTGCAGGAAGACATACCGTAAGGAAGAAGTATGTCGGTGATGAGATCAAAGCTAAGGCAGAGAAACCACATGTGAAGACACATTTGTGCTGGTTGTGGCTTGTTCCAAGAAACGCAGCTTACAATGCGATGGCAACTGAGGAGAGTAGTTTGCTGCTTAGACTCACCATCTCTGCTTGTATGAGTCTAGGTGTGAGTAGGTAGGGCACCGCAGTCCACGCAACCACAAGCGAGCTCCAAACCGGCGGACCCTCCTGAAACAATTGATGTGCAGACGAAGAGCATTCCTCATAAACGATCTACAAGAACAATCTACAAGCATACTAGTACTCGTAAGAATCTAATGATCTGGTTGACAACGGAGACGACTGGCCAACCAGCGACGACACTCTGCAGAGCAATTTGAGCCTAGCAGGGAAAGCATAAACACACAAATGTCCATGTGTAAGGCATGTATAGGTGCAGTGGTGGAACGAATGTGTCTTATATACATACTCGCGTACCCTAGCATAGTCGTCTCTAGCTTTGCTGCCTCGAGGCAGGAAGTATCTCACCGACAAGGAGGCAAACGCCATTTGGCCGATTAAAACTGCTGTTCCCACCTTCATCGCATAAGCGCGTTTCTTCGCAAAATTTAATGAGCTGGCGGCATGGTAGAAAAAAGCGAAGGCAAGAAGATACTTCACCGCCAGAAGCAAGGAGGCAAGAATGTATGTTCCCAAAGGAGGGAGCCACCGCAGGTTGTAAAGCACAGCCTCTATTATATAGAGCACCGACGTCATGGCAACCAACAGCCAGGACTTGCGCAGCAGAGACGTGTTGCGTCGAAAGCTAGCTCCTTCGACGGCGAACGCCGCTGCAAGAAACCAAGAACAACAAAGCAACACCTTCCGAATCAGGTCAACTGCAGCGCCCATTATCCTCGACTCGCAGCTGAACCAATACATAAGTAGCATGCTGATTACTACGGCTGACACACACGAAGCGGCCGCCAGCTGCCGCAGCATCATCTTGCCAATCCGCTGCGTGGTCGACCACAGAGGCTCGGGATTGAAGTGGGTACCAACGACCACCTCCCTTGTGCTGCCGTCGGGGCCACGAACGGTCTTATAGGCTAACACAGTCGGGTATTCCTCAAAGCTTGCCGGATATCCGGCAGCCTCTCTGAACCTGCAGTGAGATTATCACATGCACAGCCAGTGTTGTTCGTTGTGATGTGTCCCCTCACGTACTCAGCCACCTAGGCAGCTATCGCCTTCTCATCCCGACAATGCATGACGTCAGGGGCGCCCTCTCTATCGCCTATTGGCCGGTCGCCTCCCTTGCTGTAGTCGTCAATGGCAATCGCCGTTGTCGTGTGTGCCGTGGAAGTGGAGAGCATGGATCGGTAGGGCGGAATGCGCCCATGGGCCGGCTCTGCTGTCGTCTGGACGCACTCACCAGCTGCCCCCTTGTTTTGCTCCGAGTCGATGTCATTCTCGTGATGGTCGCCCAAAGCATCCATTGTTTGCTGCTGTGAGAATCTGATGTCGTCGCCCTCTTCTCCAGATGGCTCGATGGCATCGCCAGCCGACGGTGGGAGTGTCGCAGTTCCACGCTCTGGTGAGAGAGGACAGATAAAATGATTCTGGTGCTCCCCAGACATGGTGAAGAAGGGAAAGAAAGAAAGAAAGAGAGAGAGAGAGAGAGAGAGGGAGAGAGAGACGGGGAGAGAGGGGGGCTGCGGCGATCGCGATCGTTTTTGCAGGGTTTTGTTGCCCCGCAGCTCGCAACCGCCACTGCCCTGCATCACCCTCCCCCTCCTACCCCCCAAGCTGGTTTGACGCGCGGGGCGTGATCTTTTGCAAACGTGTGCAATTCTGCGAATGGGCCGACTTGGCGCAGCCAGGATTCAAAGCGAAGTGGATGGATGTAAGGAGAAAGTCCACAGGTCTGCTGGTGTATCTTCTCTCTACTCTCTTGCTGTGCTTCCTGCAGGCCAGCTGCCACCAGAATGAACACTGTCGAGCCTCCCACATGCCGTCCTTCCCCCGCCTCGGCTGCCACCGGTGCAGCGTCATCGCCCTCATCACCGTCACGGCATTCTTCAACTTCTGCTACTTCCCGCAGCTGGACACTTTGGTGGCCAGAAGGGCCAGCCAACACAGAACACACCACATACCTCGTCTTCGCGGCAGAGGGAGGAGACTTCTCAGGGCGGCCAGCAGCAGCAGCAGCAGCAGCAAGGAGACCATCAGAGCCAAGAAGGCGGAAGATCAGTACGCCATGATGCAGAGAGAGAAGAAGAGGTACCGCACCCTCAGCGCCCTCACAACGCTCTATGACGACTTCGTCCGCAAGAACCGGACCATGCTTGACTGGGTGGACGCCGTGGCCAGGGCGCCGAAGTACCCTGAAGGCGCATACGAGGGGCGGGGGATCGTCTACACCACGGCACTTGACGACCGATACCTTGTGGGCATGCTGCTGAGTGTGTGGATGGTGCGGCAAAGTGGTTGCCATTTGCCAGTGCAGGTCATGTTTGTGGACAGCAAGGCCAAGAGGGAGTCTCACCTGCTGCCGCAGTGGCTGAGAGAGGAGATGCGGGCTTTGAACATCGAGGCCGTCAGCCTCCCCTTCCCCAACACCTATGACCCTTACCGAGACAAGTTCTCCCGGTTCGTGGTGAAGCCGCTGACCATCCTGCTGTCAAGGTTTGAGGAGACCCTCTTCATTGACTCCGACAACTTTCCAATACGGAACGTCTGCCGCCTCTTCGACCTCAATCTCACCGACCTCGCCATCAAGCAGGAAGCCACAAAGAGGCCAGTGCTCGCCGTCCATCCCGGCCCTCTGCACGCCCACCCCTCTCTCATCGGCAGGAACCTCCTCGACGCCAATGAAAGCAGTCAGGGGTGGGCGAGACGGCAGACCAAGCTGCCTCTCGCTCGTGACAACCCCGAGCAGCCGTGGCTCACCGAGCCGTCAGCCATCTTTTGGCCGGACTATTGGTGGTTCCCTCTGGATGCCAACCTGACGATATGGGAGGTGTTTGGTTTGGAGAAGCCGAGAAATGAGTCGGGGATGGTGTCTCAGGAGAGCGGGCAGCTGTTGGTGAGGAAGAGGGGCTGCTGGAAGCCTCTCGTGCTGACAGGGCTGCTCAACTGGGCCTCCGAGACATTCTACGACTCGATCTATGGCTATGCCCCACTGGGAGCGGGGGATAACGACACATTCATGGTGAGCCACACTACGTCATGTCGCCCCTCGCTGATTGTCACAGCATGGAATGGATGGATGCTTCTGTTGGTGGTGGTGGTGCATGCAGATTGCATGGCTGGCGTACGGCTGGCCGTCCGTCTCCTACTACTTTGTGCCCTGGCCAGCGGGCGTCATCGGCCCAAAGGATCACAAACCCAAAAACGCGGGAAGAGTCGCCGGCAAGGTCATCGCACAGCACGAGCCCGACACCGGCGAGATCCTCTTCCTGCACGCCGTATCCCACAAGCTGATCGACGTCCGCACCCAACTGCGCCTCAAGCCAGAGGATAGGCGAGATCTGTGGCCCCTCTACTGCCGATTCCTGCGTGCAGACATGGCGGGCGGGCGGGGTGAGAGGGCCGTGTCGGTCGAGGATTTCAGCGTAGGGTTCCCCCACTTCGCCAGGGGGAGCGTGTGTATGCATTTGTCTGACGTGGTGGGCGGGAGGGACTTGCAGAGGGAGGTGGGGGCGCATATTGAGGAGATTGTGGGGAAGGTACCTGAGAAGGAGAAACATATTGTCGACCTGGGACGGGTGAGGGTCAGAAAGGAGAGGGGGCCGCACGACCCACCAGATTTGGCGCATGTTGGATGAGACGAGTGGGGCTGGCTGCATGTCTGTGTCCGCGTGTATGTGTGTGTGTGGCTGTCAGCAGCAGCCTTTTGCACTGCATGTGATGTGCCTCATTCATTGACGTGTTCGTGTGGACTCTTGTACGTGTCGCGCTGAATACATCGCTTTGTTTGTCACAAATAACAAAGAAAGATGCTCCCCACCCCACCCCACATACACACACGTTGTGGGCGGGAGGCCCAATCTATGAAGGATGGATGGATGGTGTGCGAGTGTTGTTTGCGCGATGACCGATTCATGGCACTGCACCACTTTGGCTTTGATGGACCTTACTTGGATTGAGACCCTTGGGCAGTGCATGAGTGTCCCTTTACACAGACAAATGTCTCACAGCAACTGCATGGATGAAAGCAACACTGGTTGACCGTATCTCTGCGTATTTCTCCGTCACACATTCGCGTCCCCTGCTCTATCCAGATGACGGCCATGTGTACGACCGTCCTCTGCATACAGCAGCGGAGACGAACGCGTGACACGGGGAAACGCACACAATCACCAACACACACCCACTCTCCATTTGCACAATGACTTCTCACTGGGGGTGAGCAAGTAAGTGCACACCATTGTATGTACATGGAAAGGACGATAACGATAAACAGGACGTATGTGTGTACGTATGTGTGTCTGGATCGGTGTCGTCAGTGGCCCTCCCCCCGACCACCGCCAAATGCCCGCTCCAGCCATTGGTGGGCATTCGACGATGACAAGGAGGATGCACACTGCCGGCACCCTCCCACGCAACTCACTCATACACACACGCCATTCTCTGCAGCTCACAACCACCCCCCCGCCCCTCCTTGCCCCTCCGTCTGCCTACACACCTCTCCCGCCACCTCCGCTGCTGCCGCCGGTCGCGACGCCCCTCGCGCGGCCTCTCCCCCTCCCTCCTCCTCTCCCCCGCCCACGAGATGGGCGGCCTTCATCTCTCGTCTGATACCCTTCCTGTGTGCCTTCTCCTCCGTGTGTGATGGCCCTGGGCCTCACAGGCATAGGCAGGGGCAGCGACGGCCGCACTGAGGGCTGGGGGGGCCGCAGGGCGCCCGGCTGGGGGTGGGTGGGGGTGCCGTGGTAGACTGCCTCATACTGCACCAGTCAGGGAAAGCACCATACAATGGAGAGAGGGGGGAGGGGTGTGAGGTGTGAGTTGTGGTTGGTGAAGGGCTTACGAATTCTGGCATCTCCGCGAAGGGCACGAAGTCCTCATTGACAGGCCGCCCGGCAGCGCGGCGCTCGGCCTCTGACTCAAACACGGTCTCGTGGTCTGACATGGCACACACCCACAATCATCAGACACTCATCGCCACACCACAGACGTGCTCACGCACCTTCCCAGTGTTTGTCGCACGCAATGCAGAGGAACGCCGAAGTGAATGTCGAGCACGGGCACTTTCGGCATCTGTATGGGCGGTTGGGCATGTGCTCCTCGTGGGTGTGCTTGCACTTGCACTTGGCCCGCCACGTCCGCACATCGAAACCTACACAAGCGTCGGTGTGCCGTGGGAGAGGAAGTGTGGCGCATTGTTTTGGTGTTGGTTCGGTTCGTGTGGTGCGCACACGCACCTGGTCGTCTGGGCAGCCACCACTCGCCCACCTCCTCCGGCCGGGTGGGGACGAAGGCGTATGCCTTGCACTCACACATGGTGCAGTGCGGCCACAGCGCACGGGAGTTCTTGAACTCGTGACTGCTGAGCGGGTGACCGCCTGGACACACACACACACACACACATGGATGGACGCATCTATCTATGCGTCATCAGGCCTGCAGGATTACGGCTCGCTTACAGAAGCATTTCGAGTGTGGCGCGATGCGAAAGCAGTCGTTGCCCGTGCACGACCGCCACACGGCATACTGCCCCGTCTCTATCGCCGTGTTTGCAGCCGTCCTCTCGTTCTCCAGCATCACCTGCACAACCGACAACACACCGACACACAGAGAGAGTACTCCAAAGTCCAAACCGGCACGTATTATTCATCACCCTCTCACCTTCGCCCCGGGTGCCGGCCCATATTGCCGCACCCCAGCAAGCAGAAACTCCATGTAATCGGCCTCCTCCTGAGTTCTCACTGGCCGCATGGCGCCGCCTCTCCCTGATGGCCGTCGGGCGGGCGGGCCGCCGCCGCGATAGCGCTGCACAGCGCTGCTTGAAGGTGCTGACTCTGCTGAGCCGGACGGGTCGGCGCTTGACGAAGATGATGGAAACGACATCGGAAGCTCAGTCGGCCCTTACTGAGGGGGCCCGGGAACAAAGGGGGAGCTGTGGAAGGTCTGTTGCTCAGGCTCGCAAGAAAGCTCTCGTATGAAACAATCAGAATTTCGTGATGGCGGAGGGCACATCTGATGCAGGAGAAGTGGCAGGAGGAAGCTGCTTGCCATTATCCGCAGAGATCATGGAGGCGGGCAAGCATGTGATTCTGCGAGATCTGAGGGGCGTCGACTACATCAAGAAGGTCCAAAGGGGCAGGTGAGGCGCACACAAGCGACATTTATCGAAAACAGGCGACTGCATTCATTACTTCATTGTGTGTGTGTGTGTGTGTGTGTGTGTTGCAGGGACGAGCGGATAGGCAAGTATAAGTTCCCATTGGGTCTGCTGATCGGTCAGCCCTACGGCAGCACATTCAGGGAGGAGGGCGGCAAGTGGAAGGGAGCCGCCAAAATCACACTCGGCACCATCGACGGTATCTATCGTTCAGCACCGCACAACCGCACACCACACGCCCTCGCCAAACACACAATGTGTCTACGACAATGCCTTTCTCTCTGTGTGGGTGTGTCCAGATGACGGTCAGGGAGAGGGAGAGGGCGAAGAGGAGGATGCGGCAGCGGACGATGGCGATGGGGATGGCGATGGAGATATGGAGCAGCCAGAGCCTGCTGTCGGTGGGGCTGGGCTGCAGCGGACCAATCAGTATCTGCAGGACGACAACACGGCGCAGGCACTCACCCAGGACGACATACACAGGATGAAACAAGAAGGTCAGCCAGCCAGCCAGCCGCTGTGTTGCTGCGGGTGATGCGTGGGTGAGCGGATGTGTGTTGTCGTGCCCCTCTCTGTTGGTAATGCATTCGCACTGGCAGGCAAGAGTGCAGACGAGCTGATTGCCGCCCTCAAGGCGCATTCCTCTACCTTTGCGGGCAAGACGGCCTTCTCGCAGCAGAAATGGCTCGTCAAAAAACAGAAAAAGTGAGTGGGGTGGATGACACCACACCACACACACATACCCACTGACTGAGACGGGAGAGAGGTCGTGTGTGTCTTCCTGTGCTGTATGTATGTCATGTGTGCTGTGTGTGCTGCAGGTACGTGAAGCAGCTGACTGCGATGCGGCCTGGGATACTGGAGCTGTGCGAACTCTACGCACAGATCGACCCTGCAAAGATATGGTGGGTAGCGCCCCGCACACACGCATCAACACTTTTTACTGTGTTAACTCACATGTGTGTGTGTGTGTGTGTGTGTTGCAGTGGTCTGCGTGTGGACTATGTGGGTGCCATTGTGACGTTGGGGAACGTGTCGAGCGGCCGTCGCGTGATCGTGTGCGACCAGTCGATGGGCCTCATCACAGCAGCCATCGCACAGCAAATGGCAGGTGGGATGGGTGGGTATCGCACAGCAAATGGCAGGTGGGATGGGTGGGTGGGTGTGTTGATTCTGTCCGTCCGCCACGTCACGTCCATGCCATCCATCCACCGATCAGATCACGACACTGGAGCTGTGTGGTGTGGCGTGTGGCGTGCAGGTGATGGTGTGCTGTATCGGGTGACCCGTCGTGGTGTGAGTGACAAGATCGTGCACGAGCTGGACACGCCCACACAGCATAGACAGATCGTCACTGATGTCCCCTCGGAGATCGTAAGGAACCGATCCCACACACACCACACGGACACCCTCACACGACACACGGAGATACACTCGTGTGTGTCTGTGTCTGTGTGTGTGTGTGTGTCTGTGTCTGTGTTGGCATCTATGTTATCAGCTGACGAGTGCCAGCCCCTGGGAAGAGCCGTGGCTGAAGCAGACTGCCGCCACCCCACACACGGCAACACAGCAGGGAACAGAAGCAGCAGCACCACCACCACCAGCAGCAGCAGCAGCAGCAGCAGGGCCAGAGAGAGAAGAACCAGACAAGGACACCACACAGGCGGCCGACGCCCAAACCACTGAACAGGGTATGCAAGCTAGCCCACACTCACACCCTCCAGACAACAAACCTCCCTCCCTCCCTCCCCCCCTCCCTCCTTCTCGGTCGGTCAATCACAGGCGACAAAGCGGCAAGCAGCCGATCTCGTGGCCGCAAGCGGAAAGCCCCGCCAACGAGCAGACCGTCGGATGATGATCCCGGCAGCACCACACCAGCACCGCCGGCATCTGACGTGCGGAGGGAGCGGCGGATCGCCATCTTCAAACGGCTGGAGAACGAGGGCGTGCAGAGGTGGGTGAGATGACGTGTGAGCGCATCTATGCCGCCGCATTACGTGTGAGTGTGTGTGGGTGGGTGGGTGGGACATGCATGTCAGTGTGGTTGGTGTGCTGGCTGGCCCGCCGAAGGGTGATCCCGCTGCCATGTCTGGCGAGATGATGACTCTCGCCGACCGATACCTCAAACCTGGTGAGGAAGCTGAACCGAACCGAGCAGCTGAGCTAGCCGTGTGTGGTGGTCACTTCACTTACACTCTCCCTGTCTTTCCCATGCAGACGGTCGCTTTGTCCTCTACTGCCAATACGCGCAGGTGCGGCAGCCATACAGTACAGCCAGGCCCCCCCCGCACAAACACACCGCACCGTGCTGTGTTGTGTTGTGTTGTGTGGTGCCACCTTTCATGCCCCTCCCCTCTCTGTCTGTCTGGGTGTGTGTGTGCGTGGTATCCGTCCACCCCCATCAGCCGTTGACATCGCTGCAGGCGGCACTGCACCGGTCCCCCTCGTTCATCCATGTGCGGGTGGAGCAGCTCTTCCTGCGCGAGTGGCAGGTGCTGCCCGGCCGCACACACCCGCTCATGGCCAGCGACATGCGCCTCCTCGGCGGCTTCATCCTCTCGGCTATCAAGGTCCTTGACGGCTAGCTGATATGATGTGTGTGTATGGGTGTGTCTGTGGCGATCTTGGCGTGCAGTGTTCTGTGTCTTTCCCTTGCCGTTCTCGATGGTTGCTCTGCCCACTGCTCACATGTCTGCGTGGGAGCAGTGAGCTGTAGCGATGGTCGGGAACTCAGTGGCCGAGACACGAGACGGCATGTCGGTGTGTGAACGGACGAATTGGGCGATGGGTGCACTGCACGGTGCATGGTGGATCATTGGCGATGCGCCTATGCATTGCATTGTACAGTCAACCAGCTTGGCCGCACAGAAAGACACTGTGTTTGCGTGTCTCCGTCTGTACGTGTGTGTCGGTCTAGCTATGTATGAGTCACGCGAGATCTGTCGTGCCTACCGAGGTCAAAACATTGCAATGACTGCATCTGAGGATTCGGTCGTCGCAAATGGAGAGACATGCATGCGGCCGGGAGTGGGGGCGCCCCAGAACAATTGCAACGCGTCTCAACACGGGGGATGCGCGGTTCGACAGGGATGCAGTCTCCCGCATGGGCCCACGAAAGCGGCGATGGATCTCCCATGATCTACAGGTGAGGTGCCACTTGGAGTGTCCCAGTGCCAAACTAAGCGTCTCTCTCTTTCGTTCCTTGCTTATTTAGGAGAATCCCTGTGGAGCCGCGTAGCAGCCCCTTGCCGTCGTACGGCACCCTCCTCGTTCGGTTCTACCACCACAACCACTCGCTGCTCAAGGTCTGCCGGGCCCTCTTCCATCTCGCAACTGAGGACCCCGCCACTTTTGCCAAGCAGTATGTGCACAGCCTGCGGACACTGAAGCCCCTCATACGACTCGCACTCACTTCATACACTGAACTCACCAGGTAGCTAGGGGCAAAAAAAGGGGAGAGAGCCCACGCATATTGGTCTCTGCACTGTCTGTCGCACGACTGTCTGTCGTACGAAGATCGCTTTCGTACGACTACTCGCCTGCCGAGGTCCCGCCGGCGCTGCCAGCCAGGAATGGGCGGGACTTCCCTCCTGAGGACTGCGATGAGTTCGGTCAGCCATCGAGCGACGGCAATACAAATGTGAATCGACTGCATTCTGTTTGTGTCTCCGTGTATGCAGGGGTCACGGCTCTGCATTACCTCGTGGGTTGTGGTTGTGTCGACGGTTGTCGTGAGATACTTGTGGGGGGCGACCCGATGCAGCTTTGCCACCGGCAGGACCGGAGGGGAAGAACACCGCTACACTGGGCGGCAATCAAGGGTAGGCTGCGGTGCGGTGCGAGGATGGGTCTTTCTATGTGATCTGTCTTTGTGGGCTCTGATTGATTAAGGGTATCCGAAGCTGTGCGACTTGCTGATAATGCACGGAAGCGATGCGCACACCCGTGACCAAGATCGCTACACGCCTCTGCACCACGCCTGCTCGGAGGGTGCCAGACAGGTGAGTAAGTCTGTGAAGTCAGCCTGCCTCTGTGCATACGTCACGTGTGCAGGTGGCTTTGCTGCTGTTGTCCGCCCGGGCGGATCCGAGTGCCCCGGGAAGGGCTAACAAAACACCTTTGATGAAGGCCAGTACATCTGGTAAGCGACAAATCTCACTGATTAATTTGATGGAGGAAGAGACACAATGGCACCGTCTGTCTGTCTGTCTGATTGTCTGTCTGTCTCCCTGTATCAGGTCATCTTGATATTTGTCGGCTGCTCATTCATGCAAGTAAGTGCCCCGCTCCCGCACTCCTTTCATCGCGGCCATCCGCAAGGTGGTTTTTCGCTTGCTTTGTGCTGTGTGGTGAATAAGGGAGCAATGCCGAGGCCGTAACGCAGCGAGGCAGGTGGGTTTTACAGCACACGCACACAAGTACGCTGACTGATTCGTGTCTGTGTTCAGGAATGCGCTGCACCTGGCTGCCATGGCCGGCCGTGCCGAGGTCTGTGAGTATCTGGCCACACATTTCCCACAGTGCCTCCACCAGAGAGACGGGGACGGCGAAACGTACGTGAATGAATGAGCAGTAGACATAAAAACAGAGACACTTGGTGTGCTCACGTATTTGTCGCTGCAGCCCCCTTGACCTTGCCATTGCGTCAAAACGCGTCGCTTCCTCAAATGTAAGCAGGCAGAGCCAGTAGTGCGCAATGCAACCCAAGTTTGATTGACTAATCCGGCTTTCTCTCTAATCGGCAGGTTCTTCGCAAGGCCGTCATGCTGTGAGGGAGGACACACACATACCTTCCTTCCCCAAGCTTGTTCTTCCCGTGTATGGTGGTGCATCCATCGCTCCCTCCTTGTCTGTCTGCAGTCACAAGTACGCGCGGTTGACAGGCCAGAGGCCGCCTGCGGTGCTGGCCAGCAACGACGCGAGAGTGTGTCGCCCTTTGGTGACCGATGCAACGTCCCAGGTGAGAGATGAGATGAAGGGAAGGAGGAGCTTGGAAGGAAACTTCTATCCTCACTTCCATGTCTAGGAAGTGAGGATGGCTGCATGGGTTGTCGACCCGGTACGTTGGTTTATTTTGAATTAAGGCACTCACTGGGTGCCGGGTTGCTCTCCTTTTGTCCATTGGTTGTATGTGTTGGCGATGCATCCAGTGCTCTGCGGTGTGTTCGTATGTGGTGTTGGTACAAGACGTCAAGAAGCCCTCCAGTCGGTCTTACAAAGTGTAGGTTGGTTCGCAACACCGCACCCCCCCTCTGTCTTACTCACTCCTTTCCCTCGTGCAGGTACTTCGAGCGCAATTCATCACAGCTGGCCTACGATCAGGTCGAATTCAGCATCACGCCATACAGGTGCGTACGTGACGTGCGATGTGTCCACCCCGACAGACACAAGCCATATATACCACATTCGTGTCTCTGTCTGTTCTCCATGCGTCTCACTCAAACCACACCACACGTGTGCTCATGGCATGCAGGCCTGACAGCGCCCCTCTGTTCGGCCCCCATCTCCACCCTGTTCAGCCCCTCTTCTTCCAGGGCCGCACCTACTCGTTCCGCCTTCTGGCCATATTTGACCCAAACAGCTCATGGGCGAATGGTAAGTCAGTCACACAAACCCGTGTCGCCATGCTGTATGCTTGGCCTGGGTGGCATTGCAGATCAGTGTCTCGTGCACAAACAGCCGGAGGGAGCGCCGTGCACTGGTGAGGCCCCCTCCTGGCCAACATACCGACCTCACTCGTGTGAGGTCCTGGACAAGTGCCAAGAGAGCATCAGCGTCCCCCGACAGCGGCCATCGTCCCCGTCGCCCTACCGCTTCACTGAGATTGAGGCGGATGGGACGGGGGCGGGGCAGAGAGAGAATGGGGAGAGGGAGGAGAGACAAGTGATGGTGGAGTGTGATGGGGAGAGTCGGTATTGGTATGACAGCGGGGGCAGGCTCGCCGGCGTGTTCTCGCCGTGGAGTGCGCCGGTCACCATTGAGTGACTGACACACGACTGATGGATGGATGGAGTGCGGAGCGATGGATGGATGGATGGATGGATGGATGCGACAGATCGCGGCTGTAGGTGTCTGGTGAGTGAGTGCAGACGGATCGGACGGGCGACATGACATTCAAACGGAGGCGTGGATGAACGGATTACGTGCGTCACCCACCTTTCACAGACAGAGTGCTTCGTAAGTCCGTTTGTCTCGTGTGTGCGTGCACGACGTAGAATCAAGTCCCAAACAGACATGACATGGATGTCAGCAGATCAGACACGGGAAACGGCGTCATTCAAGCAACGACCTGGTGGTGCGGTCAGTCAGATGAATGCTGGGTGCGGTGCTTTGTGTGGTCTATCCTAGGCAAGTATCCAAGGAATAATCAGCCCGTCCTCCCTCCCTCCCAAATCTTCCTTTTGCTGTAGTGTATGGCTTATTCTACCCTCAGCCAGGGCAGCCAATGCTGCAAGGAAAAAGAGGGGCTCTCCCACAGCCAACAAAAAGAGAGAGAGAGAGGCGCCCGTCCGCATACCAGACACATATACACAGACGCACATACACACCCATCCATATACACCGTGCACGGACTACCAATGCACACACAAATCCCTCCCCCCTCTCTCCCCCTCCCCCCCGGCCGCCCGCCATACGTCTATCGTGTCGATGCCTATCTTCGTCGATCTAAGCAGTGGCGGTGTACTGGCAGCCGGCCGGGAACTGGTCGCTCTTGACGCACTGTGCGTTGGCAGCGGTGCTCTTGGTGCACCCGAAGGCGGCGAAGGGGACGCCACCGCCCTTCTGGTGGACGTCCGTGATGATGTCGGCTCGCGTCTTGCGGCTGTCGCTCGACAGGCCCCACGACGACAGGGGCAACGTGGTGCCGGCTGGAAGCATGAAAAACTCGTACCGGTGGAAGCCCTGGGGAGGCGTTGGTGGCGCGTAGGTCACCACCTGCATCCACCCATCCATCCATCCATCCACCCATCCACACATGGTACTTTGCAGTCAATGTGTGTCGCCCGCCCTCTCGCGCACCTCGCATCCCTTCCACTTGTGTGATCCGGTGCTGAGTGTGATGAGATGCTCGCCTCTGTGGCACTTGGGGTCCGGCTCCTCGCCAGGCGTTAGGGAAGTCACGTACCAATGCAGCCAACCGAAGTTGCTCTGACCCGAATCGCACCCATGAGGGGCGTCTGACATGACAAAGGGATATATGGACGGGAGAGACGGAAACAGACACAACAGCCAGCCAGCAGGACAGGCAGGTGGGGATGCGCCATGATTGTGTCCTGCACTCCGGGCTACCTGGGTCGATGCACACGATGGATGCGCCCTTGGCTTCCTCGCCCAGCACGAGGTGCTTGGCTACATCAGGCCCTTTCATGGCCTTTGTGAGGTGGAAGGTGGGGGGGAACGACGCCATTTTCACCGGGTCTACGCTGAACGCCGATGCGGATGCTGCACTCGACAGGAGGAAAGAGATCCCGGCAAAGGACCGACGGATCATCCTTGCGTTTTTCAGCTCGCAGGACTCGGATCGGCAAGCTGTTTTCTATGCGCTCTTTTGGCTCTTCGGGTGCATCGCTGACGTCCTCTTCAGGGCCCGCACAGGACAGGACTCTCGGCTCGGCCCTGAAGGCCCGTGGCGGCATCGTTCGAAGCAGCCCCAACGCTCCAAGCGATAAGCCACTGCAAGGCACCAATCGAGGCACCAATGGTCTGCCTGTGAGGACTATCACGCTCTACGAGGACGCCCAGAGCCTCGCCTCGGCCAGTGGAAAGCCATGCAGAGACCCGGTGGGTACAGAATGTACCGAAATGCATTCGATGAAGCGCACTGCAACGGTGCTAGCGCTCTCTTTGCAGGTAGAATGGCTTTCCAGCGAGCAGCAGGGCAAGCTGCCCTCCCGTCGGTCTATCCGCTTCGACCCCTCCCGCCCCGCATCAACCAAGCCCCCAACAACGTCTGAGCCCTCCCCCTCCCCACAGGCCAGTGGCAGCACCACCGGTACCACCACTATGCTGTGCAAGCTGCGGAGAGGCCCGGACGTGTTTTGGATACAGCACTCGACGCAGATAGTCCACCTGCCAGATGTGGACCCCGCACCCAACCTCGGCGGCCCATCGCTGGTCGACCGGCGGCCGTCCCCCAGACCTGCGGCGGGTCGCCAGCAGGTTGACCGGAGAAGGGGAGGGACTCAGAGGCGGCCGCCTGGCGAGGGTGCGGGTAAAGTGGGGGTGGGTGTGCCTGCTCCCCCGTGTGCGCCTCACCCATATGATGGCACGATGCACTCTGCTGACGAGGGGTGCGTGCGGCCTGCACGATGAGTGAGACAGACAGAGAGATCCACACATACTCACATGGTCAGCCAGATACACACTGGGTGCAGGAGGGTATCGGGTGGATGAGTCTGCCTCTGCCTGTCTCTCTCTGCGTGTGTGCGTGTGAGTGCAGGGGCGAGGGCGTTCTGTCTTTCATCTCGCGGGTGTTCGGAGTTGTGCATACCTCTGACAGCAACAGTGACGATGACCAGGCTGCATGATGGGAGGGGATGGGAATCATGGGATGGATGGGGGTCTGCTAGGTGTGGTGAGAGAGAGGGTGTGGATGTGGGGGTGGGGGTGGACGGCCAGGACACTCTATCGCTTGCATACGTTGGGAGTTTGCTAAGACGCCGGGGCGGGCAAGTCAAGTCTGTGTGTCGGTCGACTCGACTCAAGAAACCACTGGAAACCATTACATGCATGGTCCCTTCGGGAAACGTCATGCTGTCATGTCATGCACATCTCTCTTCTTCGCTGCATTTGCAGACAGACACACATCGTGATGCCATCAGAGTGGCAAAAAGGCCCAGCATCACCCATTATCCCCGTCATGGCTGGTTAGTCCTTCCCCCCTCAGCCCTAGCCCTTCTTCTGTCTAAGAACTGCTCGACAGCCGCCCTACACCTCGGACACAGCGAGTGTCTGCTCGGGGGGTCGTCTTGGCTCCTCGGCGAGCCTTGCCACTCTGACACATCCTCGCCCCACATCCAACACCTGCATACACACACACACACACACACACACATTTCCGACCATCATTCTCTCAGTCGTCTTTCCTCCCTTCTCTCTGACCGACTGACCTTTCGCACTTGGTCCCGACCGCCTTGCTGACCCCCACAGTGCAGCCACTCCCCGTCTGCTCAGCCGACAGCCGGAACTCAGGGCAGCTGCCCTCCACTGCACCGGGGGAGTCGGCCAGGTGCACTTGAGAGGTGAGGAACAGGAATCTCAAGTCGTCCACAGCACTGATGCGGCCATCGGTGGTGGTGGTGGTGGTTGCGAGAAGGGGCGACTGGTCTGGGAGCAGCTCTCTGAGCCACGAGGTGGTCTGGGGGTCGGGGCAGTGGATGTGCACGGCGGCCTCGCTGTTGGCACCGACCAGCTTGGCTGTGCGTGCGGACTCGATCACCTGCACAGCACAGCACAACGTAGGGCGGGTTTCGTGAGTGAAGCCGCCCTCTGCTCATACATTTCTCACCTACTCACCTTGTTGACGTCATCTCTGAGCGTCATGACCAGATCCCACTTGTCCTCCCTGAAGGGGGGTGACGCCTCAGCACCGCTCGGCCACCCAGCCTCAAACACACTCCCACTCCGCCTCACCCCCTCCCCATCATGAGGCAAGTTCTGCCATATGTCTTCAGCCATGTGCGGCAGCAGGGGCGCGAGCAACAGGGCAAACGCCTCGGTGACCACCCGTATGACCGACTGGCACGCGCGCCTTCGCCGGTCGTTGGGCGTCGAGATGTAGAGGCGGTCCTTGGAGACGTCGAGGTAGAAGTTGGAGAGCAGCTGGTTGCTGAAGGCCAGCAGCTCCTGCGTCACCCTGTAGAACTGGTAGGACTCGTAGGCCTCACGCACTCGACGGATGAGGCTGGCCGTCTTGCCGAGCACCCACTTGTCAACCTCGGGGAGATCTTCATACGCAACACCATCCTGCACACCACACCACCATGGTATGGTAAGACACAAAGAAAGAGAGTGCAGGGTTTGTCTGACTGGTCTGGTGTGGTGTGGTGTGGGGCTCAGCTCACTTGTTCTTTGTCGAAGTCGTGTATGTTGCCGATGAGGAAGCGTGCGGTGTTCCTGAGTTTGCGGTAGGCGTCAAAGACCTGCTTGATGATGGTGCCTCCCACCAACACGTCCGAGCTGTAATCCACCGTCGCCACCCACAGCCTGACACCCACACACACACACAGAGGGAGAGAGAGCGAGATACCATTTAAGTGTCCGTGTGTGTATCGTTTCTGTGCAAATGCCCACCTGAGCACATCCGCCCCATAGGCCGGCTGTTTCTTCTTGTCGCTGCCGCCCTCGATGATGGTGAGGGGGCTGAGGACGTTGCCCAGCGACTTGCTCATTTTATACCCCTTCTCGTCCAGCACAAACCCGTGAGTCAGCACCGTCTGGTACGGCGGAGCCCCGCGGACGGCAACCGATGTCAGCAAAGACGACTGGAACCATCCCCGGTGCTGATGAGACATCGAAACACAACACTTGTTCGTGTGTGGGAGTTCGGTGTGTGTGAGGTGGGGAGGGGGGGGGGATGGTTTCCTTCTCACCTGGTCAGATCCCTCTAGGTATAGCTCGACGGGATTGTCGTGCCTGAGGTTGTCTCGTGTGTTAACCACCCCCGCCCATGAGCTGCCCGAATCGAACCACACGTCGATGGTGTCATTGCCGCGAACCCACAGTGACCACTCCGACCTTTGGCCCACCAATATATATACACACACACACACACACGTGTGGAAGGGGGAACGGTGGGTGAGCATACAATCCAATCAATCCGTGTGTGTGCGTGTGGTCCGATAGACAGACACCTGTATGGCTCTGGGAGCAGCTGCTGCGTGTCCATGGTCCACCATGCGTCTGTTCCATGTTGCCTGAAGACCTCCTTGATGTGTGTGATGGTGCTGTTGTTGATGAGTGGCTCGTTGGTGTGGGCCTGGTAGAAGACAGGGATGGGCACGCCCCAGCTCCTCTGGCGGGAGATGCACCAATCGGACCGGGACGACGTCATCGACGCTGCACACGTCACATCGAGGAGAGAGACAGGGGGCAGGATGGGATGGCTGTGTGCTGGTGGTGTGTGTGTGTGTGTGCTCTAAAGCACCGACCGATCCGCGTCTTGCCCATCTCGGGGATCCACCTGACCTCATCGATTGCCGCCAAGGCCGCCTCCCTGCACACACGCCACATGAGACCACAACCACATGCAATGCAATCAACCGTCAGGTCAGCAACATTCATTCATTGTGTCGGTCAGTCAGGGTCACTGCCTGGCTGGCTGGCTGGCTGACTGACCTGAATGCATCGACGGATATGAACCACTGCTCAGTGGCCCTGAAAATGGTGGGCTTCTTGGTCCGCCAGTCATAGGGGTAGCGGTGGGGGTAGTCTTCGGCCTTCAGCAGACTCCCACACTCATCCAGCGCCTACACACACACACACACACACACACATCCATCCATCCATCTGCTCGTCCATGTGGCCATCCGATCCGTGTGTGTGTGCCTGGATGATCGCTTCATTGCCCTCCTTGAGCACCGACAGGCCTTCGAACCGCTCCCCCGCCTCAGCAGTGAATCTCCCGTAGTTGTCGACGGGGCTCAGCGGCTCCAGACCATACTTCTGCCCTGCACACACAACACACGAGGGCAGCTGTGTCTTGGGTGTCTTGGGTGGGGGCGGAGTGTCTCCCATACGCAGGTACCTGTCTCAAAGTCTTCCTGTCCGTGTCCTGGTGCGGTGTGAACGAGCCCGGTGCCAGTGTCTGTGGTGATGTAGTCGCCACCAGCCACCACACGAGACACACGACCGTACAGCGGATGCTCGTACCTGTACGACCAAACACACATACATACGTGTCGGTCGGTGAGTCGAGTCGGTGGGGTGGGGTGGGTGTGGGCGGCTCAGCTCACTGTGTGTCGACGAGGTCCTCTCCCTTGATGGTCGCCAGCACCTCCAGCCCTTCACCCGTCAACTCGTCCAACGCACCAAGCGCCTTGGACACCTACATACACACAGAGAACAAAACACCACATGTGGTGCGCCACGTCAATCTGGTGTGTGTGTGTGTGTGTGCGCCAATCAATAGGTACCTCTTTGACAAGGTCCTTGGCCACAATGAGGACCGCGTCGCTGTCAGGCCGCCTGACGAGAGCGTATTGCAGCTCGGGGTTGACGGCCACGGCCATGTTGCCGGGGATGGTCCAGGGGGTGGTTGTCCACACCGCCACACCCACATCACCCCCCCCACTACCACCGCCGCCGCCACCGTCAGGCAGGAGCCGGGCAAGCCCATCAGAAGGCGATGTCACCTTGAACGATGCGTAGATGCTCTTAGACACATGGCCGTCAGGGTACTCGAGCTCCGCCTCCGCCAGGGCTGTTTGCGACGACGGCGACCAGTGAACGGGTTTCTTGCCCTTGTAGACGTGCCCCTTGAGCAGCATCTTGCCGAGGATGTCGATCTGCGCCGCCTCGTACTCTGGGTCTAGGGTGAGGTAGGGCTTCTCCCACTCGCCCATGACGCCATACCGCTTGAAGGAGTCACGCTGCTTGTCCACCTGGGAGAGGGCGAAGGAGGCGGCCCTGAGAGAGAGAGAAGAGAGAGAGAGAGAGAGGTGGGCATGTGTGTGTGTGTGTGTATGGTAGGTGTGGCTGCTCACTTTCTTCTGAGGTCGAGTGGTGTCAGCTGCTGCCTCTCGCTGCTCTTCATGCTCTTGAGCACCTGCACGCACCATCGGACAGACAGACAGACATACAGACGGACAGGCGTGGCGTCCGTGCTCAGCTCAGCTCACCGCCAGCTCGATGGGCAGTCCATGGCAGTCCCACCCGGGCACATAGCGAACCTTACGCCCTCGAAGAGACTGATACCTTTCCACACACACACACACACACACACACACACGAGTGCTGCTGGCTGATGCAGTAAGGCAGGATGGTATGTATGGTAGTTGTCCCTATGTACCTGTTGATGAAGTCCTTGAGGATCTTGTTGAGTGCGTGGCCCATGTGCAGCTCCCCGTTGGCGTACGGCGGGCCGTCGTGGAGCACAAAGACCTCACCGGGGTTGCTCTCTGCCTGCCGCTCGTAGACCCGCTGCTCGGCCCAAAAGGCCTGCAGCTCAGGCTCTCTGATAGATAGAGGAAGGAAGACACAGACATCCATCGTCTGGCGAATGATGAAGGCTGTCATGTCACCTCTCTCCCTCACCGTGTGACAGCGTTGGCGCGTTGTGTGAAGGTGGTCTGTGGGAGGTTGATGCTGTCGCTGAAGGGGTTCTCCTCCTCCTTGCCCTTGCCCTTGCCTCTGCCGCCCTTCTTCCCGGCTGTAGCAGTTTTCTGCTCTGATGACGTCGGGGCTGTCTGCTCGGGGGCCTTCTCAGCCACTGCTGCCGATGCTGCTGCTGCTGCTGGTGGTGGTGGTGGCGCAGTGGACAGCATGTGGCGGGACGGCACTCTCCTTCTGAGGGCGACGGGGGGGGGGCGTGTAGCGGCCGGTGCAATGAAGCAAGGCGGCTGCAGAGAAGGAGAGAGAGAAGCAGAAGGCACATCGCACCAAGGCAAGGCGTGTGTGTGTGTTCGATGTGTGTATGCAGCCTCTGTGTGCGATTCTGGGGCATGCACCTACCTCATCGGCAGATCTTTTGGGCGATTGGATGCGCCTGATTGTCCTGTGCTGCAGGCCCTCTGTGCTTCTCCGACTGCAGCCATCACGCTCAGTGACATCCGCCTTGCCGATGTCAGCAGAAAAGATCAGCGAGATGAGAACGGAACAAAACAGTCCCGGCAGCACTGCAGCCGTCCATTGCTGCATCCTGAGAAGCGCTCGCTGCTCTCCTGCCCTCCCAACCTTTGTCCTTCCCTCCCGAGCTCGCACAACAACCGATCGCCGGCCTTTTCCCCACCGATTTCGTAGCGTTTTGCCCTCTCTCTGCTGTGCGTTGCTCACCACTTTCGGTGCAAGTTCGCCAACCAGCGACTGTCGCTAAGCGTCTCTCTTCTCCTTCTCGAATAGCTATTTGCCGGCACCACCATGACTGAGCGCAAGGCGGTCATCAAAAATGCCGACATGTGAGCATCGGACGCTGAGAGGGCAGAGGGAGGATGTGTGTGTGGGCGCGCGTGTGTGTGTGTACTGCGTTCTCCGTGTGTGAAATGGCTGCAGGTCGGAGGAAATGCAGCAGGACGCCATAGACTGCGCCACACAGGCGCTGGAAAAGTGCGAGGGAAAGGCCGAGGGGGCTGGGCTGGGCGGGGGCTGTGTCGACGGCTGTGTGTGTGAGGTCTTTCTTTGTGCCGTCCGTGTGTTGTGTTGCCTGCCTGGCTGCAGGTACAACATCGAGAAGGACATCGCGGCCTACATCAAGAAGGAGTTTGATAAGAAGTACAACCCCACATGGCACTGCGTCGTCGGACGAAACGTAAGTAATGACACACAACACAGACAGATATCTGACACACACACAGACATAACACACAAAGAGAGAGGGGAAGGAGACCAGGAAGGAGACCACGGCCGTGCACGGCAACACACACGCGGCGCTGCGCGCTTCCAATGCACTGCATGACCCCTGCAAAATCTAAAATCTGTTGTGTGCGTCAGTTCGGTTCCTACGTGACGCACGAGACGAAGCACTTCATCTACTTCTATCTCGGCCAGGTGGCGGTGCTGCTCTTCAAGTCGGGCTGATACACACCTTGACCACACTATGGGGCCGACAGGGGAGGGGGGAGGTGAGCAAACTACACAATGAATGCCCAGCCAGTCTGGAGACGCTGTGAGGTGAGTGCGTGGCTTGTGGTGTGTACTGTGCTGCGCTGCAGGTGTGTGATGATGGTGATGGTGTTTGTACGTATCTATCGGAGTGCTGCCCGTCCTCCGCTTAGCGTAGGAAATGACTGGCTGACTGTTCCGTAGCCTGACCGAGTGTCTGCCTGCCTGCTCGCCTCTATCTCTCTCTCTCTCTCTCTTGGTTGGTTTCTTTTGGACCAAAGCCCCCACTCCACACCCCACTGCTCGCCTGCCTGCCTGCCTGCCTGCCTGCCTGAACGACTTGATGTGGCTGATATATGTGGCTGATGATGTGAATATGCAGTGCACGTGCCATATAGACCAGTCAGTCGCTCGCGCCGTCCGTCCAACACACCACACCACGACACGCAGCTAACCTACCTGACAGACAGACACATAGAGAGAGAGCACAGCCCAGCCCAGCCAGACGCCCCCGTCCGTCCTGCGTGTTCCCGTCCGTGTCCGTTTCCGCCAGTGTGTTGCAGTTCCGTTTTTCGATGCCTGTCGATGGTGCGATCGTTGTGTCTGTCTGTCTGTCTGTCTGTGCGCCTGGGTGACTCTCTCCCGCTCTCTTTGTGGCTGGCTGCGTTTGTTTGTTGGTTTGTCCGTGCGTGTGAGTGAGAGGGGAGCGTCCTAAGTATCGTTTTTCCTCTCCCTCTCTCTCTCTGTTTGTTTGTTTGCGTGATCAAGTGTGTGTCTGTGTGTGGGTGTAGTGTGGTGTACAGCTAAGCGGCGGGCGGACGGACGGGCCGACACACTCACTACTGCAGACAGACAGACAGAACCTCGATCCTGCCTGCCTCCCTGCCAATGAATGGATGGATGGATGGATGGACCGATCTGTGAGAGAGCGCAGCTATACAGACTCACTCACTCACTTACTTGCACACAAACATACACACATACATACACACATACGTACATACATTATGCGTATCAGCCAGCGAGTGACCTTCGGGTGGATCTGTGCGTTGCTGTGCCAGCCACAGCTCGCCCATCTGCCCAGATTTTGCACCAAACAACCAGGGAGGGAGGGAGAGAGGGAGAGCGGGAGGGAGGGGGCAGACAGACAGACAGACAGACAGACAGACGGACACACGGACAGGAACACACAAACACGCAACCTGATGGAGAGACCAGACCAGGAACAGCCATCGATCTGAGCCCCTCCCTCATCCCTCCCTCCCTCCCTCCTTGCTTTATGTATGTAAGACACTTACTTGCTCCCTCACTCCCCTGCCGCACTTGTTTTGTGCCCCCCTGTCTGTCTGTCTTTCATTGCCTACCTACTTGCCCATACAGCCCAACGAAGAACGTATTTATCGATCAATCGACCTGACTGACTGACATACATACACTCAGCAACGCCCCGCGCACGCCCCGCACACCACACCACACCACACCCCCATCCAACAACAGACACGTGTTTTGCGGTACCTGCTGCATATACAAAGCGCATGATGCTTGTGGGGTGCGTTTCCTAAGCGTGTGTGTGGGAGGGGGGCGTGGGTGTCGGTTCTGTCTGTCCGTCTGTCTGTTTGTTTGCTCAGTGGGGGCTTTGGCTTGGCATGGCTGGTCTACACTGTTTAGCTAGCTACCTCGGGGGCGGGGGTGGACCTGAGAGAGCGACACGATGCATGCATACAGTTTACACCCACACGGCACGGTGAGCGAGCGGTATTTGCTTGACGTTTCAATCCCATGAATGAACCAGTCCATAGCTGATAGCTAGATATGTGGGGACGGCGGGACGGCCCGGAATTCACTGTCAGATACCAACCACTCCCACCCACCCACCCGTGACACCACACCGGTCGGTCAACACAGGAAAAATAGAAAGACCCCTCTCTCTCGTGTGCCTCTTTGTCCCCCTCCCTCACTACCCCACGGTCAATCAGCAACACTCTACACAACACGGAACCTCACCCCCCCACGCCCCACCACCAGCAGCAGCAGCAGCAGCCCCCGCCCAGCAGCACCCTTCTGCTAGCCATCATCACTGCAACACCTCTTCACTCTCTCCCTCTGCACCTGCACACACGCAGACAAAGCGCAAGCGCACACAAAACAAACGTCCATGCCATGCGCCGTCCTTCCCTCTCTCTCTTTCATTCTACTATAGCTAGCTCACGCCACGCCCACCTGTGCTGGGGTGTGTGACTTCTGCCACTGAGTAGAAGTCGCCATCCCCCTCGTCGGCCACATCCATCCCCTCCTCCATGCCCTCTAAGCCGTCTATGCCGTCTCCCTCCATCCCGAAGTCGCCCCAAGAATCGCCCTCATGGAGCATGGAATCATCGCGGGACGGCACCAGGCGATACGGACTCCTGCTGCCGCCATCATCGCGCTCAACGCCACCCCCCACACCAACACCAGAACCTCCACCACGTGGGGGTGTGGGGGGGTGGTAGGTGTGTGGGATACCACGTTGGGAGTGGTGTCCTGGTATTGCAGCAGTCGCCGCAGCTGCATATGCCGATGCCGATGCTGGCCCAGCCGCAGCAGAGGATGTGCTCGCAGCAGTCGCAGCCGCAGCAGGCGCAGGAGGGCGCACTGGCCTGCCCGGTAACACCACCGGCACCGGCATCGGTGGTGGCAACAAGACTGCTGGCGGTGGCAACGAAGGAGCCATCTGCACTGCAGCAGGGTGCACCGGCAGCCGATGCCGCAGCTGCACGGGCACAGGTGGAGGACCGATCGGGACGAACTGTGGCACCGGTGTCAGTGGGACGAATGGCGGATAGGGGGACGGGGCACGGGAAGGGGCGTGGGAGGCAGAGAGAGAGAGGGAGAGAGGGGGGAAAGGCCGATATGTCTGGGGCAGACGGGGACGGGGGGCATTCATGGCGGGCGAGAGGGGGGGCTGCATCGCGCCGTAGTCGTGCTGCGCAGTCGAAACAGACAGCGGCGTACCTGACACACACACATGCAGACGCGAACAAGTGGACAACTTGTTAATGAGTGAGTCACGCATAAAATGTCTGTCGTGCTGCTCACCGTTTGTGGTCGATATAGGAGTCGGTCCCGTGTGCCCATTGACGTGTGAGTTGCCCGTCGACACCATCCCGCTGGCAGGCGGACGCCCATTACCGCCACACGCGTACGTCGAGTGCTGTGGCGGCGGACGAGGGAGAGCCACGTGCTGCATCGGCGGTCCTGCAGCTGTGGGGGGGCCAAACGGGGGATTCCCACACACTGCTGGGGCGGGCGGACCCATTGCCGATGACCAACTTGAATGAGCAGAGTAGAAGCTCGATGCCGGTGGAGGTGGAGGTAGGTGCCGCCAAGAGGAGGGATCCATCATGAGCACCGATTCTGATCATCAGGGGTCGTCCAGCGCTCCGTGCGATTGCGAGCTAAAGTGCGCCAGGGTCTGCGTGGCCATTAGCCAGGATGATTCAGTCGTTGGCAGGGCGGCGATGTGATGATGCGGATAAAATAGATGTCCAAGAAGTGGGACAACCAGACAGACAATCAGACAGACAATCAGACAGACAAACAGATAAACAGACAAAGAGCTGATCAGGTCTATTTGATCCGTGTGGACCCACCACCCACCACTAGTTCCAAAGAAGGTCAATTCCCACCTTCTACCCTCCAGCAAACAGCATAAAGGCAATGTCCAGCACATAAACACGGTCTTGGTCGTTTCTTTGCATCGACAAGTGTCTTTTCTGCGATTGTTTTGTGTGTGGTGATGATGGGAAGACGGCCTGCAGCCATGCGTCCTCATTTGTCTAGGTTGCTTTTGAGTCATCGATCTCGAGAGACGGCAGTGCACCATACAATGCCATTTTCTGCACGTACGTACGTACGTACGTATCACGGCTCAATACAAGACACCTGCGACGAGTACATCCCCATGGGGAGACGCATTCGGCGAGAGACCCCTCGGGGCACTATGGTCGTGTCGTGTCTGCATGATAAAGCCAACGTGCCTCGTTCGTCGCCATGACACCAGCAGACACCGAAAGCAGGAAGAACAAAGAGCTCACCAGGCAGGCATATTTAATCCGTGTGTGTACTTGTCCACATGTACTTGTCCACATGTGTTCTCGCAGCAAATTGCTTTCATAGTGCGTGCACCCAACAAACAGCTGACCCTCCGTCTCCGAGAACAGAAAGACCTCATCCTCGCCGTCATGAGCATCGCTCGGTGTCCTCTCGAAGGCCATGGCCGGCAGCCATCGGTTGTGTCTCGAGGAAGTGAGCAAGTGTGCCGGGACGGCGAAGGGCGACTGCAGCGTGACTGTCTCGGTGGCCATGTTCCAGCGGTGCATGGTGCTCCATGATCGTCTTGAGAGGGGTAAAGGGGTCAGCGGCACTTTGGTGGGGGTGAGGCGGACACAGAAGAGGGGCACCGACCAGATGTGGTCTATGTGAGGGCCTCGAGGTCGTCCTTGCTGATGAACGGCACTGCAGCGACCAACTCACCCTCTCCCCTCCCTTGAAGACCCTCCTGGTCTTCGTCCGCCATCTTGTCCAGGCGTGTCTCTTCTTGTTGCTGACGCCAGCCAGGGCAGTGCGGCAGCAGCTTGTTGAACGCTGCGATCATGAGAGCCTCGATCGACCCTCCCGGTTCCGCCCAGAGTGACGTCGCCTGGGAGCTGATGTGGTAGTTCCCCTCCACGTCCGTCCCCATACCAAACGTCGACGCCGTACAACACGGTGGCGTGCATCTGTCTGTATGAGATCTTCCGTTGTGCAACGGGGCACCACCGACGTGTCTTGTTCGCCTCGTACCCATACCAGCCTCCTGCCCGCTTTCCTCGTCGCCATCAACAGCATCATTCGGTGTTGCCTCGAAGACAATGGCCGGCAGCCATCGCTTGTGTCTCGAGAAGATGCGGAAGTGTGCCGGCACGGCGAAGGGCGACTGCAGCGTGACTGTCTCGGTGGCCATGTTCCAGCGGTGCATGGTGCTCTCCACTCACAGCCTGGGTCAAAGGGGCCCAGAATGACCGTCTTGAGAGGGGTGAAGGGGTCAGCGGCACTTTGGTGGGGGGACGGCGGACACAGAAGAGGGGCACCGACCAGATGTGGTCTATGTGAGGGCCTCGAGGTCGTCCTTGCTGATGAATGGCGCTCTAGCGACCAACTCACCCATTCCCTCCCCTCCAATCCTCCTGGTCTTCGCCCTCCCCACCCCACACGGCCTCGGCGTATACGACGACGGCGACTGCAGGTGGGACATCATGTGGCTGATGGGGTCCAGCTGCCATTGCTGGATCATCATGTCGTCCTCGTGGTGCAGAGTGACCGAATGCGGCACACATCTCAAGCCGTCTGGCAGTCGGGGCACGCCACTTCTCCACACGAACGTGGCCCCATCAGCCCTCTCAAAAGCAGGCGGCTGCCGATGAGCTTGCCCTTTCTGCGCCTTTGCTGCCATAAGTCGACAGCCGGAGGAATCGGTGGGGGCATCCATCCATCCATCGTCGTTTCTGTCTTCCTCTCTGTCCAGGATGGGTTGCGGCAATCGAGGGAGAAGGGCCGGCTGTTGGACGGGCCGTGTGATGGCTGCACGCCGTGGTCAAAACAGAGGTCAGTGCGGTCTTGGTCGTCTGTGAGGAGGGCGCGGCGCCCCCGATCCCTCGCCATGCCAGCAGCCGGACAGATGTGGATGGGTTGCTGTCTGAGGGGCCGTTCTTGCTGGGTGAGTTGATGCAGTCAGTGTGGCTTGGCGCTGCTCTGGACGAGAGGGATGTGATCTGCAGCACACCCAAGACACCTGTGTCATGCGATCGATGCTTTGCGGTGCGTGAAAGAGAAATGGAGACGGGAAGGGGCGAAGTGATTCACCTCTGTATGGGTGATTGGGGAGTACTGCAAGCCGACAGCCATCTCGCAGTACCGATAAGGCGGCAGCAGCAGCTCTTACTCGCCCATGACCATTCCCGACTTGCCGCCCTCCCGCTCCGACACAAGGGGCCTGAAGCAGCACCCCGGACCCCGGATGGATGAAGTGCACGTCAAAGGACACGTTGTGCTGGCCTCCCATCTCGCTACAGGCACTGGACCGCCTGCTGCCTTCACGTGCCGGCGGCAAAGTCGGCGCCACGACGGGGTACTCGACGAGACACGTCATGTTGATCAGGAGAGGACACTCGCCCTTGTTGGCCAGAAACAGTGTTCGTGCTGTGGGGATGAACGGTGCTGCCTCGCCCCACACGAGCCGCTTGGCGCTTGTCCAGAGAGGCATGGAGGGCGGTGGGGTGCGGAGACGAGGGGCAGTGCGAAGGCTTGGCTGACGCCATTCGCGTCAACGGCAAGATCGGGGGGATTGGGGAGGGCAAGACGCAACTCCAGGGCGTGGGAAGATGTAGTAGTGAGCTTGGCCAAAGACATGATGTAGAACAGGCAGTTACGGCAGCGGCAGGTCGAACAGGGCGTCGGTGGCCTCGTCAATGATGATGTGGATGGCTCCAGCCTGCTCCCTTGGCCAGCTCCAGCTGCATGGGCTCCACGCCAATGTCCAATCCAACCAAAGGATTCAGCGGCGCCTCCAGAAAGGACACAAGAGCGGCTGATTTGTGCACCGCTGGATGCAGCAGGGCTTCTTCCAGCACAACTCGTGGGATGTGAGGGCCGTGAGGTTGTCTGTGAGGATGGCGCCCCCGATCCCTAGCCATGGCAGCAGCGCAAATGCGAGGGGCTGGGTGGGATGAGAGGGGTTCGGCTGGTGGGAGGGCGACGGGCTGGTGGGCGGGCCACAAGAGGCGGTGGGTTTGGATGGGCGTGTGTATAAAATGCCCTCAAGCAAGCCTCAGAGAGGCCGCGAGGGCTGTGGGAATGCCCGCAAACTGTGCACGGAGGCACACTGCAGGCGGTGAATGCCCTCGCAACCCCTCACTCCCGAAGGAGAGAGGGGCGCGAGGGCCACACGCGTCTTGGTTCAGTTGCAAGGAGGGGGGAACCAGTCGCCTGCAGGTCACCACAGAGACAGACAGCCACGACCTTATCTCGATGTGTGTCTCCTCTTGATCGTGCGATCGTGGACGTTCGTACGTTTGGCTTTGCAGCAGCAGGGGAACATGCGCCGCGCTGCCTCCCGCGCCAGGCCCCGGCAGAAGCGGAGTGCATCCGCCACCCCATCCTTGTAAATCTCCCACCGCTCCTGGCAATCGGGACCCTCCAGGGTCACCCGATAGCCAGGTCCATGTCGCCGCCACCACTCGCCCTGCCCCGTCTTGGTGTTTGTGTACCACCCCTGAAGGGAAGAACACACACAATTGATTGACACAGAGATTGCACTTGTATGTATGGGCAGTGAGTGCACCTGCTCCGTCACACCCAGCCTCGCCGCTTCCTCCACGAAGTACCACTTGGGGTACTCGGGCGCACCGGGCCCAAACAGCGGGCGCTGCAGGCAGGCAGATAGGCAGGCGGACAGAGAAACACACTTGTTTCTTACAATGGATGTGTCCTGTTGTGGTGCTTTCGTACATCGAAGAACTTGTCGAAGAAGTCTTGCTCTGGGGGAGCTTTAGACGAGGCGGTGGAGTCCGGGCCCTGAATCCCCAAAGGACACGGAGGAGGACGAGAGTGAGGATCTGACCTCGGTGTCCCTGGATTTCTGCTCACCTCGTAGCCCATAGCCCCGTAGAGATAATTGTTGTCGTACATCCACCGCCTGCCCTCGTTCCCCACCACGCGATACGCCTCGTTGATGGCCTGTGACTCCTTGGTAGAGGTGGCGGCGTGGGCGGGCTGGCCGTGCTGCTGCTGCTTGTCAGCGTGGCACCTCTACACACACACGGGGAGAGAGAGAGAGACGTCAACTCGTGGAGAGCTGCCTGCAAGTACTAGAGACGCTGCACTGACTGTCACAGTGACTGACCTGCAGGAGTGCGTCTCGTGCCTTCTTGATGTCCGCCTGCGTGGCGGTCGGGGCGACCTCGAGGGTCGCATAGTACCCTTTGGGGTCGCCCATGCTGCTGCTTGTGGGTGCGGCCATTTTCGCTCTTCTCTGATGGAGACTGGGGGCCGCATGCAAGGTTCATCCGGGGCCACGGGATCGAGATCCGTATGGCTGCGAACTCGGACGTCTAAGGCAGCCCCGGGTCAGCCCATGGACGAGTATTGAGCTGCCCATAAGGAAACCGGCACGTGGCTGCCGAATATATATATATATATATATAACAAGGCAAGCGTCTTGGTGGTCCAAAACTGGCTGCGAGCCACGAAAACCGACCTCTGATCCCAAAACCAGCTTTGCACAGTGCAAAACCGGTTTTGCGACAGAGAGAACCGGTTTGCGATAGAGAAAACCGGTTTTGCTTGTTTTCAAAGCCCGGTTTTCCCTGTTTGAGTGCCGGTTTTCGAGCCACAGTTTTGTGGAGACATCTATTTGTGGTCGTGTCTCTACAAAATCGGCACTCAAACAGGGAAAACCGGGCTTTGAAAACAAGCAAAACCGGTTTTCTCTATCGCAAACCGGTTCTCTCTGTCGCAAAACCGGTTTTGCACTGTGCAAAGCTGGTTTTGGGATCAGAGGTCGGTTTTCGTGGCTCGCAGCCAGTTTTGGACCACCAAGACGCTTGCCTTGAACCGAGTTTGAGCTCGATGCCGGTGGAGGTGGAGGTGGGTGCCGCCAAGAGGAGGGATCCATCATCTGCACCGATTCTGATCATCAGGGGTCGTCCAGCGCTCCGTGCACGGCGGTGCGATTGCGAGCTATGTACCAGGACCCAATGGCCAGTTACGGTGCCAGGATGATTCAGTCCGTTGGCAGGGCGGCGCTGTGATGATGCGAATGAGGTAGATGTCCAAGAAGTGGGAGGTGGTGTGGCGGTCGCTGATGCATCACCTCAAGCTCAGCGAGGAGAACGTCAAGGTGGATGCCATCCACCAGCCCTCGCACAAGCGGTTCCTCCTCAACAGAGTCGTCCGGCTGCCCATGCATGGCGACATACAGGTGTCTGGACACCTTATGCTGGAAGGCCGATATTCGATGGATGCATCATCTGCACACTTGTACTTGGCTTCTGTCTGCAATGACTGCAGTTGGCTGGTGTCGGCGAGGCGCCTTACACGAAGGAGAGCAACGCTCCCCCCATGAACCAGATCTGGCCAAATTCGCCGCTCCTTCCGCCAATGTGCACCGATAGCGTCCCTTTGCCTTCATTCAAGACTGGTCGGCCGGCGGGCGATGAAAGATCCGTCCGTCATGCACTCACTGACGCCAAGCTATGTGTGTGTGTCCGTGTGTGTCTGTCAGCCTGGGACCGGTCTGTCCGTGAGGTGATCCGAGATGCACTGAGAAAGGGTCCGCCAACGGGCGGGAAGAACGGCTGGCGAGGATACATACTATTACCTGCCCGTCTTCTGTCTGCAGATGTGTTGCGTGCGGATGCGTTGGCCCCGCTGCCTTCGGAACTGCGGAAAGCTGTCACAGAACTCACTTCCCAACAGGTGTGTAGAGGGAAACACACACTGGCGTCGGGAATGTGTCGAGTGCTGTGTGTATACCATACGGCAGGGTGGTGACCATCGGATGGGCGTTCGGCAGCTGGTTGACGGCTGGTATCAGGCCATGGACGTGGATCACCCCGCGGCGAGACGCACACTCATTCAGCACTTCCCGCCACCCAAATGGACGCGCCAACGCGGTGGGTGACTATGGGAGGGACGATCAAAGGCGGACCTTGTGCAGCTCTGTGTGTGTGTTGTGTTGTGTTGTGTTGTCTTCTGTGTGTCAGGGATGTGTGTGCCGATCGATGTGTATCGGCAGTGTGCTGTGGGGCCTGCCCTGAGGCCGCACGCAGCCTGGGACGTAGGACAGACCGCTCACTCACTCACACAACATCTCAACATCTACATCTACACCGTCATCTATCTCACCCCTTGTCAGGCGCTGGACCATCTGGAGCGGAACATCGACATCGAGCCGCAGGAAGACATATCGGAGACGTTCATGCCCACACGGCCACCCGGTGCCGCTTCCGGTGCCGGTGGCCATCGTGGGGTGGTGAGGGAAGGGTCAAGGGAACTGGGGACGGGCAAGGGAAGGGGCGACGAATCTGGCCCAGGAATGGAGTATTATAGGTAGGTCAGTTTGAGCCAATGACCAAGGCCACCCGGCATGTATGTATGTGCACATGTGCGCGTCAATCAGGAGGTCGCTTGTCACTCTCGAGAGGGAGCGGGCCTCACACATCATCGATGTAAGTCAGTCAGCAAGTGCGGACGACACGACCCCTCAGCGGTCACTTTTCCTGCGTCCTTGCCTGTCTGCGCGTCGCGTTGGTTGGCAGACGTACTATGCGTTGCTGAGCGACCCCTATGAGGGCCACGAGCTGGTCCGCAGCGCGTCCTTCAAACAAAAGAGGGAAGCACGATTCATGGTCGAAGGTAGGGTGGGTGCATAGGAAGTCAGAACCCTCGCTGCATACAAGAGACAACCATGGGACCAAGCCTCTTGTGTGTCAGCTGACATGTCCCACGTGAGTCGCGATGACCTCTGCGTCCTCATACCGAGAGACGAGGTGTGCAGAGTGGACATGACGCAACCAACATCTGATCATGTATCTGATGTCATCCTCCTTCCTCTTGTATCTATCTGGTGTGTCTCGTATGGTCAGGACACGTCTCGCTTCGTGAGCGACGTTCGTCACATCCACGGAGACGCATTCGACTACAGGTAATACATACAAAGCCATCCATCCATCCATCCTTCGTCCTTCTGCCTGCTCATCTCCTCAGCGCCGTTCACATCGCTCCACCCCATCCCCCCGCCCACGCGACCCCCAATGTGCGCCTGACATGTCTCGCCTGTGAGAAGCCCTTCGACCTTCCCCCATCACGCCTCCTCCAGCCAGAGCCCCTGCAGTGCCCCTCATGCGGCCACTCAAGCAGGCCCACAAGCGGCGTTCATCACGGAGGGGAGCAAGTGGGCCAGGGGGAGGGTGGGGTGAGTGGAGGCCGGAAGGAGAAATCAAGGCTTAGGGACGCTGAGACAAGGGTGGGTATGCACGCTGAACAAGGAAGGCTGTCTGGTTGCCGTGGCAGACTGTGCCTGCGTCGTCTCGACAATGCAGGACGTGCGAGACCCTTACCGCTTCTGCAAACGCGATGAGGTGAGGTGAGGTGAGACGACAATAAAACCCCTGCAAGCATCCCTTGCATTCTTATGCAACCTACCTCTCTCTGTCTCTTTCTCTCTCTGTTTTCCAACTGACAGGCGTGGGTTGGCCAGGTGGTCCGCATCCGTCAGGCCAACAAGATCTGCTTGCTGCAGCTCAAGGTCCACCCCATCCTCATCTCAGCCCAGGACCCCACCACCACCACCACCCCGTCCAGCGACCCCCACCCCCTGGCGGGCTCTGTGCCCGTGGAGCCCTCCTACTGGGTGGCCTGGCCGTCGGTCATACCAAGGGTCTTCGATAGACAGCTCAGAGCACTCAGAAGAATCGCACTTTTCGGTATGTATGTGCGCCTCTGTGTGGGTCGATCCTTGCATGCACATGACTGCATGTGCGTGTGTGTGTGGATGCTGGATGCTGGATGCTTTCGTTTTGTTTGCTAGGTGACGAGTATTGCTCTGAGTCGGTGCGGAAGCTTATTCTCTCCCCCTCGGGCAACCCTGTCGGACCGCTGCAGAAAGCGGCCGGGCGTGAGCCTGCTGGTGATGGTCTTGGTGGTGCTGGAGCTGGTGCTGGTGCTGGTGGCGATGAGATCCAATCCTGCTTCCCCGAGCTGAGCGCGGGACAGAGAGACGCAGGTAGGTAGGTACAGAGAGAGGTGTGATGCAGTAAGACTCCTAAGTAGGGAGATTATGCTGTGTGTTTGGCATCAGTGAGGAGTGCCCTGTCGTCTCGCGAGCCAATCTGCCTGATCCGGGGTGAGAAAAGAGGAAGGAGAAGCCGAGAAGGAACGGGCCGATTGTGGTCTGTCATGTGTGCAGGTCCTCCTGGCACGGGCAAGACCGCGACAGCAGCAGCCATTGTTGCAAGTATGTATCCACCAAATGCACACACACACCACACAAACACACACACACACACGCAGGTGCAGAGAAAAGACGATTAGGAGTTTTCCCCTTCTATCTGTGTGTCTGTGTGTGTGTGCGTGTGTCTTAGTGTGGGCCACATCGGACCCAACGGACTGCTCGCCCATCTACGCCTGTGCCGGTAGGCAATCCAATGGAGGCACGGGTCCCGTTGTGTCTGTCATCCAGTTCGCCCCCTTCCCCTCCGCTCCACCCTCCTCATGTGCCACAGGCACCCATGCGGCCGTGGCGCAGCTGAAGCGGCACCTGCTGCGTTGGGGCATTCGCCCCAGCAACCCACGCGACCACATCAGCAGCAGCCACAGCCGTGACACCGCGACCGCCAGCTCTGCGGATGAGGCGGCGGAGAATCCTGAGCCTGATGGCGATAGCGTTGGTGGGGATGGCGAGGAGGGTGAAGCAATAAGCGATGGGGAGGGTGCTAGAGGGGGTGAGAGTGGGGGCGACTCGGATGGTGCTGGAGGAGAGTGCGGAGGAGGGGGCGGGAGGCGGCAGCACGCACATGTGTTTGTGCAGACTGTGTACCAGGTAGATAGATCAGTTACACTGGCATGCCATGCCTGACGACGCCATGAGAAGGGATGTACGTATGTGTTGTTCTGTGGGTGGTCAATCAACAATTCATTCAGGCGTCCATCTTTGCGCGTCGGGAGCTGCCCCGCGTGCTCATCGACGAAAGCACTCAGATATCGGGTCAGTCAGCTAGCTGAGATGGGACAACACACACGACACGACCCTTCATGAGCCTGCTTGCCTCATCCACTGTGGGTGGATGGATGGATGGATGCTTGTCTCTTGTCTGTGGTTGTGGGTGCGGTGCCGACGGGTGAGTGAAGAGTACGCGGCGCTGATCCCCCTGGCACAGAGGTGCCGGAAGCTGCTGCTCATCGGAGGTAGGCAGGCCAGCATCAAGACACTGTCCTGTGTGTGTGGTGTGGAAAGACGTGTGTGGCCGATGCTGCTGCTCCTGCGGTGCAGACCCTGCCCAGTTGCCCCCCCTCTCGCCTCTGAACAAGGTAGACAGGGCGGTTCGGTCGGCACAGATGGATTGGATGGATGTGCTGCTGCACATGATATGTGCGCATATATATGATCCATGTTGTGTGTGGTGTGGTGTGTCGTCTTCAGCAAGTGTACGGCGAGCGCCACGAGCCCGTCACCAGCCTGTTCGATAAACTGCAAAAGCAGGGTAAGGGAAGGTAAGCTAAGACAAGACAGATGCCAAGCCCGTGCCAACCATCCACAGCACAGCACACAAGAGACGTCCCTCGCTCATGCCTGCCTCTGCACTGCACGCCTCTATGCTGTGCACTCCACGTGTGTGTCAGGTCTGCGGCCGGTGTCTCTGACGGTTCAACACCGGATGCCGCCCGTCATCTGCTCCTTCCTCTCCAAGCACTTCTACAGAGGCAACCTGCACACCGACTCCCTCCTCGCCAACAACCCCCCACCACTCCCAAGCGGCTTCCCGTGGGCCCGGTCGGCCGACGACCCCTCTCTCCCGATGCCCGTGCTCTTCATCGACACACATGGGGGCGGGTATCTGGAGGAGCTGAGAGACCGCTCGCTCATGAACCCACTGTGTGTACTGTCTGTATGCTGGAAGGGAGGCGGACACAGCGCGTGTCAGTCAGCATATATTGGTTTGTGTGGTGTGGTGTGGTCAGTGAGTCGAGTGTGTGTGCAGCCGTGGTGCGGCGCTTGCAGCAGCTGGGGGTGCCCGCCAGCGAAATCGGTGAGTGACGCACGCGATGCGATGCGATGCGCAGAGAGACACAGAAGGGTGCGCAGAGAGAGTGGCTGGAGACTGTTTGATTTGGGCAGGTGTGATAACGCCCTACGACTCGCACAAGCGGCTGCTCAAGAGGGCCATACACGGAATGGTACACACACACACACACACTCATGCACGATTGCAGGCGTCCGTCACTCACCTCACGGTGTCTTGTCTGTGTGTGCTTCCTTCTACGTGTGTGTGTGTGTTGTTGGGCCTGCAGGAGGGCGGCATCGTCAGCCGTCGGGTGGCTTTCCTTTCGCAGGCAGGCAACCAACGCTAAGCCACACACAACGAACGCCAGCCACGTGTCAGACATGACATCCATCATGCCTGTGTCGTTGCGTGTCTCTGGCTGTGTCCCCCCTCCCCTCAGCTGGATTTGCTTGAGTTGGAGCCCCACCCACACGTTCTCACCGTAGACGGCTTCCAGGTGGAGTACCTACCTAGCTCACTCACATGAAGACCAATGCGTCACAGTGCCGGATGAGTGGATGGATGGATGGATGGATACGCCTCTCTCTGTCTGTCAGGGGTCTGAGCGCGACTTCATTGTCTTCAGTGCCGTCAGGTCTAACCTACAGGTACAACGCGGCTGACTGACTGACTGACAACATTCGACAGACAGAATCATCTTTCGGTCGAATCTGTGTGTCGGGGGGCTGTGCGGTGTGCCGCAGGCGTCTCTCGGGTTCCTCAAGGACGAGAGGCGCATGTGCGTGGCGCTGTCGCGTTGCAAACGAGGTGAGGCACCACTCACCACCAACACACAACACACGTCCGTCCTCGAGATGTATGTATGTCTTTCGGGCCGTCGGTTGTCTGTCAGCGTTGATAATGGTGGGCGACTCCAAGACACTCAGCTCACACCCCATCTGGCAGGTGGGCGACAGACACACAGGGCTGGTTCTAGGCTCCATATCACTCATTTGTGCGTGCACCGTGACCCACCTAGGAGTGGGTGGCGTACGTGGACTCGCTGGGCTGCCGGGTGTCTTACGGCACCTTCATGAGGCAGCTCCACCAAGCACACCACACACACGGGCAGGGATCGATGAGTGTGTGCAGGAGTAGTGTAGTGTAGTGTGTAGGCCGAGACGGACAGACGGATGATTGCGTGTGCCTTGCTGTCTATTGCTGTCCCGTCCCCCTCGACCATTTCTATTGCTGTCCTGATATCTGTGACAAACAAGGCGCGACAGACCATGTTCGTAGAAGAGTCCACTTTCTCAGCCGTTTTGGCCGCCTAGGGTGCTGCCTGAAACCGCTGCTGCTTTGAGAGAGCTCCCTTCTCCCAGTGGGGAAGAGGCGGGTGTTCCGAGGGCATTTTATGATGATGTTGTTCTTGATCTCCCTCCTCCTCCTTACAGCAAATGGACACGCAGGTAACCAACCACACCGACCGTCACTCCATTCATTCGTCAACACCCTTCTGCTTTGCAGGGCGGCCATCGGCCGGTTTGGAGGCTATCCGGGAGCTGAAGCAAGCTGCTCTCTCGGTGTGCGAGGGGAAAGGCAGCACGTTCAATGCAAGTTTGGACGTGCATTTGTCGTGTGAAATTTGTGTGAAATCCTCTGTTTGTCGCCTTCAGGGGGATACAGTGTTGGCGCAGCGAATGCTGCACGAGGGCGCCGATCCCAATGAGGGCAGGCCCGACAACAAGACGTCACTCATGTGGGCGATTGATGGCACTCTGCCGTGGAAGATGGTCAAGGTGCTGCTGCCCTACGTGACCGACCTGGATGTGCGAGATGAAAGATGGATGTCGGCTCTGCACTACGGGGCCATCAAGGGAGACGACGGTGTGGTGAGGGCGCTTCTCAATGCGACAGGAAACGTGAGGGGCGATGCGCGGCTGCCGGACGTCAATGGACGGGACAGCAACGGAGCCACGCCTCTGTTACTTGCTGTGAACCACGGTGACTTCCCTGACGTCGTCCAGACTCTCCTGGACCACGGTAGGAGGGGGAGGGGGATACCACGGGCAACAAAGCCGTGTTGCGTTCTCTCGAGTGTGTTAGGTGCCGATATAGAGGCGCAAGGATTCGTTTCTTTCTCGTCCAATATTGCTGTCAGTCCACTCATCGAAGCTGCTTCGCAGGTGCGACACTTTCACAATGCACGACCAACATGGAAGGCAGCTGCTTCGACCTTTTGATGCTTGCAGGGGCGCGTGGAGAGTGTGCAGCTGTTGTTGAAGAATGGAGCGGACATAAACCGAGGCGGCGGAGAGCAGATCACGCCATTGATGGTAGGGAGCTCTTGCAGATGCGCATGGGGGCTCGCGTGCAATCTGGACCATAAGCCCCAGATTGTGAAGATGCTGCTTGACCAAGGAGCCGACATTCACGCCCGTAACAACATTGGATGGCAGCCTCTTCACTACGCTGCGAGAAGGTAACAAAAAACGCCTCCTGATACGTGGTCATGCCTCTCTGCTGGCTGGCTCTCTTCGGCTGTGCAGGGGCTGCGATGAGCACGTGGGCATTCTCATGGTTAAAGCATCTGCCGACCCCCTGATTCCCGCGAAGGATGGCCAGGCGCCCGCTGAAGTGGCACATAGCGGGGTAGGCTAAACAACTGTCACTTTCCCTTGCGCGTGCCACCGCCTGTCGATTAAAATGTGTGCAGGGTTATCACGCTCTCGCGAAGCGCTTGAGGGACTATGAAGACCGCAAGTGCAAGTAGCCGGCAACCACGTCGGTGAGCAAAACGATCATCTTGCATGTGTAGAGAGGATTCGCGCGATGCTGGATGCCACTGACGAGTCAACAAACGGCTCTGTGAGCAGTGTGGACCTCGCCATGGGACTCAAACGTGCTGCTTTCCACGTAAACCGGGTGTCTCGGGAAATGACAGAGCCTTGTCAACTCGATACTTGGCATTCTTGTGTTGTCAGGGCAATAGCCTTCTCGTGTCCCTCTTGTTGGATGAGGGAGCGGATCGGAATGAGCGTCAGCCCGATAACAGGACAGCCCTCATCTGGGCGGTAAAAGGCGCGAGCCCCCTGCAGATGGTGCAGCTGTTGCTGCCTCACATGCGAGCCATCGACGACGTTGACGGCGAATCCAAGTCGGCCCTCCACTATGCTGCGATGACGGGTGACGCTGCGGTCGTCAGGGCCCTGTTGGAGGCAGCCAGCGCTAGCCGAAGGGCTCTTGACGTGAATGGCCTCGACAACCAATGGCAGACTCCGATGTTCCTCGCCGTCTACAATGGCGACTGGCCAGATGTCGTGGAAACACTCATAGAGTTCGGTGAGTGGCCAAGGCAGGATGCAGCCGCACTTCACCTCCGTTATATCCTGTCCTCGTTTGGGCGATTCAGGTGCACACGTGAATGAAACGCGTTTGGTGCCCCTCCTCGCGGCTGCCTCGAAGCGTCACGTTGGTGCAGTGGAGGTGTTGCTCCGACACGGAGCGGACCCAAATGCAGGGGAGTACGTAGACGTTGCTGGGGGTGAATGGACGCTGCTGCAGCATGCCTGCACGTGCACCTGCGGCAACAGCCCGATCAGCAAGGAGCTGTACCTCATCCACTCCATGTACGAGTGTGACGAGCGCCACAGCAGAATGCTTATGCTGGCCCTCTCATACGGAGCAGATGTCAATGGTGTCGGATATGAAAAATTCACTGCACTCCATCTAGCTGCGTTGGGGTGAGCTAAGAAACACCCCGCTCACACACTTGGGTGGATGCGTGTGTGTGTGTGTGTTGTCTTGTGCGTGTCTCTTTCATGCAGGGGGTGCTCTCGCGCTGTCACGACGCTACTCAAGGCATCTGCAGATCCGACAATCGTTTCAAATCTCAATGGACGCACGCCAGCTGGCGACGCTTTCGAAGAGGTAGGCAGGCCGTGCTGTACAGGAGCTGCGCAGCTCGCCCCGAAGGGATGGTACTGACTGCATGGCTACCTGTCTGCAGGGTCACATTCTTCTTGGATGGCATCTCAGATACCACGAATGTGAGCCAAAAGAAGAGGAGAGGAACGTCATGCGTGTGGTGGACCGCTTTCTCTCTCTGCATTCGCTGTCTGCAGACAAGACTCACCTCATTCGGTTCTTCTCCTCGCCATGGTCTGTGGCTCTGGTGCTCTGCTGTGTTGTGATCCTGCTGCTGGCCAATCGGCGGGTGCGTCGCCGTCTGCTCTTCGCCACCAGATGGCTCAATGAAAAGCTAAAGGAAAAGCTCCTGCATCGTCTGAAGGCGTCTCAAGAAAGTGAGAAAGGAACAAACCAATAGGGAATGTTACAAGGTCTTCATGGTGGGTCTGTCTGTGGTTTGCTGGCACCACTTCAGCGGGCACACAGCGCCTCAGCAAGCGTGACAAGAACAGACTGAAGAAGGGCCGTCCTGAGGACAAGAAGGAAGGCTCACGAATTGAAGAGAGGCGCCCAGACGCCGATACCGCAGAGAGCACCATCGAGTCGGTGGCAGCAACCATCGTTCAAGAAGCACTGTCTCACTGTTTCGTCTGGTGGGCTGCAGTGACGCTGTGGATGAGAAGGACGCCACACGAGCCACAGCGAGGCCGGCAGACGCCGATCCCACCGAAAGCGAAGCCAGGTGGGTGACAGCCACCACAGCCACCAGTCCCGCATAAGAAACCATGTCTCTGCCATGTGTGTCTGATGATGAATTAGTCGCAGATATGGAGAGGTTGTCAAGCGCTGGGAGGAGAAGTATTCGGCGGCCATCCGCGAGCGCAACGAAGCCCGAGAGGCGCTCAGACAGACAGAGATCACCCTGAATGCCGAACGCAATAAGTGAGAAGAACCAACCAGCAGAGAACAGGAGACTACACTTGTACGTGTGGTGCAGGGGAGAGTCTGACCGACAGAAGGTCAAGTCGCTCAACACGTCGCTGCAGCAGGCGAAGCAAGAATGCACCAAAGCCCAGAAGGAGGCCAAGCAGCTCAGTACCAAGTAAGAGTATTGACGAGGTGCAGCTGCATCAACCGTATGTTCTCTGGGTCTGGCGCAGGTTAGAGAAGCAGCTAGAGGTGGCCAACAGGGAGAAGGCCAGCAAGGGCGAGACCATAGCTGCCGCCCAGCGACAGGCCCACACCCTCAGTGACGAAAAGAGCAGGTGAGCGGCCATCCAGCCACACAAGGCACCGCTCAGCCACATGCCGACTGGTTTCCCTCACAGGATGAAGGCTCGCCTGGACGGCACCGTGAAAGAGAGGGACGCCGCACACAAGAAGATCCGCGAGTAGGCGGCGGGATGAAAGGGTCACAGATTTCGTGTTTCTCTATTGTCTGTGTGTGTGCAGGTTAGAGGCATCTGTCCGCGAGCTGCAGGCAGACGTGGGCTGCCTCGACTCTGCTAGCATCGACAGGTGGGCGCCACTTAAAGAACGAAAAGCCAACGCGTCGCTGGCCTGTCTCTCGTTATGCATGCCTTTGTCATCAGGTTGTCTGCTGACCGGCTCGAGCACACCGACCAGGAGGGCATCCACAGTCTGCAGAACGACATCCAGGAGGCCCTGCAGCAGCTGGCGTCTGCTCGCGACCGGCTGATGGGCCGATTGGCCGGCGTGTCTGACCAGGAGCGGCAGCTGCGTGAGCTCGAGGTGCAGGCCAAGAGGAAGGCCGATGACCTGCAGAAGTGTGTGGTCTGTTTGGACGAGCGCGCCACCATTGTGCTGAGTCCCTGCCGCCACATGTGTCTGGGCGAGAGCGCAAGTACCGCAAGAGAGAGTGCCCCATGTGCCGCAAACCTTTTGACCGCGACAGGTCGGGAGCCGTCTACACATCGTAGCTATATGCAGCTGAGGGGGGTGGGTGAGTGAGTCGGGTGCCTGGGGTGCGCTGTGTGCGTGTGGATGGCGGTGTATGAATGCGTGTAGTGTGCCATTTGTGGCTTTATAGACAAGTCATGAATGTGTGGGCAGGGCCGGTAAGTAGCTCTTGCAGGTATACAGTGCATGTGTCGGGTGGTGCGTGTACAGTGCATGTGTCGGGTGGTTTGCATGGCTTGTGTGTACAGTTCACTGAATGCGTGCATGTGTGCAGTGTGCCATCTGTGGCTTTATATACTGTGCAGGTGTTGATTAGATCTAGATTAGTATATATGGCGCCGCCTTCTTTTGCTTAGGCATCTTTGTATGTGTGTGCGTATATGTTTGTCCAGCCGTCTGCCTATTGTTCTGGCCAAGTCGGACACAAGATCTGGCCATTTCGCAAGCAGACTGTATCCGTGAGCATCAATGCGGTTCATGTGCCGGTGCATTCGTCCATGGACAGCACCACACACAAGACATGCCCACACAGCACCCACCATGCAACAACAAATGCAGCTGGACATGTCGTGTGTGCGTATATACATGTCTACACCGATGTGGAGAGCTCCGTATGTGTGTGTGCCGGCGGTCTATTTCTTTGCAAAGAAGTCGGTCATCTTCTTCATCCCCTTCACATCTGCACACACACACACACACACACACAGAGAGAGAGAGAGAGAGAGGGAAGGCATAAAATGCATTGAGACACGACAGCCTCTCTCAATGCACATGACATTATACCTCTCGGGTTGGCGGCTTTCGGTTTGGCTTTCGGCTTCGGCTTGGCCGCCTTGACACACACACGCACATCGATACAAGCAGCCGTCGGTCGTCTGCCTGAGCGTCATCATGTGTATCTGCCTCGCCTTTTGTTTGGGTGCTGGGGGTGCTGCTGCAGCAGCGGCAGGCGGCTTGCCGAGGTCACTCTTGGGGCCCTCGTCGATCCTGACAAAGCCGTGTGAACAGTGGCGAGGGAAGGAAGCAGACCCACGCCCACACATGTGGTTTACTTGAGTATGTCAGCTACGATCTGTCTGAGTTGGGGCTCCAGCTGGGCCCTCGCCAACTCCGAAGCCACACCTCGCAATGCACCTTCACACACACACGACACAGATGAGCAGAGAGAGACAGGGAGGGTATGTCGTCCTAGGCAGCCCATTTGGCTAACTCGTGTTGATGTCGAATGTGTGTTCGCTCTGGGGGTCATCGCCGACGTCGTCGGCCGCAGACGCCACACTACTGCTGCACACCTCTGCACACACACACAGCAGAGAGAGAAAGAGACAAAGGAAGACGGGGGCTGTCTGTGTCTGTGTGTGTCCATCAAGCTGACCGTTGACGTAGAGGTTTTTGTCTTTGACCACCGCCATGATGCGATCCATCTGTGTCACACAGACATTGACACACACCGCACATAAATCTGTGTGTGTGTGCCATTGCTGCTGACACACTTACTTTCTTCTGAATGAATTGGGCGAGTTTGTCATAGCTGAGCCGAACCAACGGCACATCGTCACCATCAGGACCACCTGACACACACACACAGTGGGTGGATGGATGCCCCCCACCCCCTCCGCTCTCTCTGTCTTACCGGGGATGGCGTCGCATATGAGTGCTATTCGGTGTCTGACGTCCTGTGTGCGCATCAGCTGCGCCATGACGGTGCGGCAGCCATTACCGCTCTCGTCAACGTAGTCATAGCTATACCCCCCACCCCTGCCCTCCGCCGATCTGTCCGTCGGGCTGCCGCCCCCACCCTGTCCACTACTGCTGCTGCTGCCGACATCTTGGTGCTGCGATGGGTGTGTGTGGCTGCTGCTGCTGCTGGCAGCCACGTTTGACGTGCGGTGGTCAGATGGCGGTGGGTCGAGTGTCTGTGTGAGGGGGCAATACCGACCGCTGCCCTGCTGACACACACACACACACAGGGAGGCTCCTATAGAGTTGCGTCGCTCCCTTACCTCTCCCCTGGCTCGTTTGCGCAGCGGAATGAACAGAAAGAGCGGATCGATGTGCGTCACCAAATGAAGCCGACCATCTGTGGGAACACACAACACACACATCCATCCATCAAGATGTGGCCCTCCCTCCCTGTCCCTCTGTGCGTACCAGCGATGAGTGTGTTGCCGACGAACATGGAGCACTCGCCCACCGCCCGGCGGCAGCTCACTACCTCCAGCACATCGACGGCAGCTGCTGCTGGGGTGTTGCCATCCCCATTCCCCCCTGTGTGCTGCTGTGGCTGGCGGATGACATACATGGCCGGTTTGCCGCAGCCGGGGTGCGGCAGACGCACCACATGGTGGACCACACTCCCACCATCGCCGCCGCCATTGCCATGATTGTCGTCGATGAGGCAAACGCGGCATCGCTGCAGCACATCGGGATCTTCGTACGCCGCTGCTATAGGGGCTGCTACTGGCGTGTTGATGGCCGCACCGCCATGGGCATGGTGGCCTCCTCCTGCTGCTGCTGCCGGTGGTGGTGCCGGTGTGCTACGGTTGGCTGCGGTGGTCAGATTGGGTGGCGGTGAGATGCAGATGTCAATGCCCTCGTGGGAAGGGCTGTGCATCATCATATCGGCCCTTTGCAGGCCCTGTCCGGGGCGGAGATTTACCACACTAAGCTCGCATTTCAGGAGGTGTGGGTACAGAGTCCAATCGTTGAGCTCATGCATGCCATGGGCTCCAGGCCGACGAAAAACTCAAGCTGCGCTCGAAACACACGTGCATCTGTATACGGTTCCTCACTCACTCATGAGACAGTCATCAACAGTCGCCTCATGCACTGCACGTCCTCATTCCTCAAACCAACCACACTCCTAGCACCGCCTGCCTACTCATTCACAGCTCCTTGTAGTCGTCCTCGAGCTTCCCCGACATGCGGTCCATTCTGCCAGATAGACAGAGGCAACCAGACGCGCACACACGTGGGTGGGGTGGGCGGTCCCTGCTGTCGAAGTGAGTCCGTAGGATTTCTCTCACCTCTCGGTGTTTTTGATGACGAAGTATCCCAGGCCGATGGCAAATGATGCCGTCAGGGCGATGCCAAACACGATGATCTGCTTGCACAGCATACCCGAACACCGCACACACGTCAGAAATGAAGTACCTACCGGTGATTGGCCCTCCTTTGTCTTTGTCACCTGTACAAGGCGGTTCTCCATGCCAACCTGTTCCCACAGACTCTCGCCAGTCGTGATCTGAACTCACACACACATATACACAAACAACAACACATTGCAAGCATCCACACGAACTCTCATCCCAGAGGGGATGTCGCGCCCCTCCCTCCCCCGCCCGGCTGACCTCCTTGATGAACCAGGCAGCCATGGCAATCATGGCGGCCCGTCCGTTCTGCAACTCAGCGTTCCAGCCGAACCCGAAGTTGCCCTGACCCGTCGGGTTGATGCGCCACGGGTTCACATTACTCGGGTCAAAGTCATCCTTCTTGCCGTAGCCGGGAGGCGGCGGCATCTCGCTTGGTGCAGCTGCCTTGGTCTCCCCCTCTGCGGGTGGTGTCGCGAAAGCATCAGGGACGGCCGATGAAGACGATGGCGAAGATGGCGTGGCCTTCTCGGTCTCGGTGCTTCTCAGAACGGATCTCGCCGCATGTCTGTGAGGCATCACTGAGGGCTGGGAGGCTCGTGAAAGGTGAAGTGGAGGGACGAAGGCTGATGATGAGTGCTGGGAGATGCGGCGATGAACTGCAAGTGCATGATGCGAAAGAAAGAGAAAAGCGAAGACGGCAGGAAGGGCTGCACGCTGCATTGTGCCTGGGGAGAAGGGACGGTGGGGATGAAGAGATCTTCCGACCTGAGCTTGCATCTGCGAGCTTAGCGCCAAAAGGACGAAGCGATAAAATGGAGCCAGAGGAGAGTTCAGCGTCCTCAGTTGACAGGAATACCCGTCTGCGCCGTTGGCTGGCTGAGCTGCCGAGTCAGGGCCAGGGGAATGAGCTGCTGGCGCCCGACGTGTCGCCGCCTGACGAACAGGAGTGGGACGGGCACCTGGCTGCTTTGCAAAGCGAGCTGCAGACCCTACACATTGAGCATTTCATCAGACACACTGAGATTAGGTGAGGAAACGAAGAGAAACGGGATGAACAGGCAGGGGGCAGTGCACCATAGACGGTGGCCTTTGTCTCTCGTGCGCAGGCATTTTGGCTTTGACGACGCTTCGAGTGGGATTGTGGAGTACGTGAGACAGATACTTGACGACCAGGTGAACAGGGAAAGCCGCAATTGTCATCCCCATCCGTGTGAGTACCATTCTCTGTTGTGTTTTGATTGTGTCAGGCCGCCGTGCTGGAGACGGAGCTGCAGATGCTCCTCCATCAGGTGCAGACACAAACTGCCACATCAGACGGAGAGAGACAGACAGCAACAATTCTGCCGTCCATTTCATGATTTCGTGGCTGATGGATGCAGCGTGAGATCCTATGTGCTCAGCTCAGGGCCATCGCAACGCTGTCTGTGGGCACCACAGTGTCCTCGCTGGTATGTCAGCTGGGATGCGCCGCATGAGTGAATGGCGGTCTATTTGTTGTGCCTTCGCGCATGCAGGCCCTTCAGGAGCTGATGGGTGAATGGGAGGCGCTGCAGAGACGGACGAGTGAGGCGCCGGCCGAGCGGCGCCGTCAGGAGCCGAACCTACGCTCTGTCAAAGTGGGTAAGATTGCTGTGCTGTAGTGCTGGCATTCCGGCTCTTCTTCCGCATGTCTGTGTGATGTCGTGTTGCCGGCAGATGCCATTCTCGTCTGTCACGACCTCCTGCTGCAGGTTCGTGAGTGAGCGCGAGACACGAAGGACGAGTATGGATGATGTCTTTTGTGTCTGTCCAGATATTGCGTGCGGATAAACTGATGGGCGAGGGGCTTGCGGGTCTCATTACGGCCAAGGAAGAGCTGAAAGCAGCCATGAGAATACTCAACCACAGAGTACTTACTTCTGTACACAGAATGAATGACAGCCAGCAATCCTTGTGTGCAACTCGTGTGTCTCTTTCCTCCCCTCTCTCTCAGGGTGACATATTCTCCAAGCGCCGTCTGTGTCGCGTCGGCGGCATTCCCCTATTCCAGCTGGAGTTCTGGGAGCAGCAGCAACTCGACACTACCAAGGCGGCTCCCTCATCTGACAAGCGGCCGTCCTTCCCCCCTCCCGCTCCATCGGGCAGCGGCCAACTGGCTCTCGAAGGCATCGCACCCGTCTGGCCGGCACCATTTGTTGAACAGGTGAGTGCGTGAGACACACACAGGACCTCTCGATCCGCGAATGGATCTGTGGTGTTTTGTCGTCGTGTTGTGTTGTATGTTGAAGAGGGTGGCGGTGAACAATTTGGATGCGCATTACTATCAGCTGCGGTATGAGAATGCGATCCTCAAGACCCACCTTGAGATCGAGCAGTGTGCCGCGGAGGAGCGGAAGATGGTCCATGATTTGTTCCTCAAGAGCACACAGGAAATCACCAGGTCAGCGAGACACATGATACACACGCAGGCGCTATGTGAATGTCGATGTCTCCACTTATCATCATGGCCGCAGGACGCATGCCGTCGGCACTCGTGAGAGAGCGCTGCGATGTCTGTCTCAGTGGAAGGCCTTCTGCCAGACAGAGAGGCCCCTCCCACGCATCGTCAATGCACTCTTCACCGAACAGGACAGAAAGGTGGCCGCAGGACCGACACACACAACAGAGACCCACCCACACACCTTGTTTGTGTGCCTCGAGGCACTCTGCATGTGTTGATCGGCAGGATGTGGCTGAGAGGGAGCCCCCCGCTCCTCATCACTTCAGTGGCTACACGGATGAGGATGAGCAGCCCGTGCAGACCACTGATCCCAGCGAGTCGTGGGGGCATTTGCTGCCCGCACTCGAGAGGTGGACGCCCGTCTCTCAGACAGATACGTAGGAGGAATGCACTGTGTGTGCGTGTGTGGTCTCTGTGTGAAAGTGCTGGTGTTGGTCTTCATAATAAGAGCATTGACAATAGTATTGTGACAGGGCCAATCGTTCACATGCAGTGTGAGCAATAAGCTTTCATGTCTCAATGATCAGTTCCCCTGTGCACTCTTGTCGAGAGCTGGCGCCTTCGCATCCTGAACAAACGAACGACACACCAGCACACACACACACCCCACATCCGTCCACTGAAGGGCTGCATGCTACGGCACCAGCTCACTTTGTAGAGATTTTCAATGTGTCTGTCCACAAAGCTGGTCAGCTTGGCAACGTAGTCATCATAATATATACGCCTGGAATGCGGGCCGAGACACACACGTAAAGCCTTCTCCTTTCTGTCTCTCCCACCCACCCTCACTCACTTACGCGGCCTCGCCTTGCTCCTTATCGACAGCAAAGTCCACAAATTCCGACATCTCCTTCTCACGCAAAGCAGAGGACCCCGACGCCAGATACCGCTTCATCTGATCAACCTCTATATACCCCCTGCCCTCCGGGTCAAGCACCTGCACCCACCCACACACGTGACACTGTGTGGTCATTCCTTAGTCGGATTACTCACTCTGAAAGCGGACAGGAGGTTGTCTTCATCGTCGGGGTCGAATCTCTTCTGCAGCAGACACCGCAGCATCATCTTCTCAAAGGCGTCATACGGCACCACATTGGACCCGGAAGGGCCACCGACACCCTCGTCTTGCATCTGAACAAGGACACAGGACACAGCGGCTATGTACTGTGCCAGTTGCTTCTGCATGTGCTCACATCTCTGAGGAGGTCTGCGACCTCCATTTCGTCAGGGAACTGACCGAGGTACCGCATTATGGTGCCCACCTCCCTGCGCACAAGACAGTGAGGCCATCAGCTCGCCCTGAGCACGGCGCCCCCTGTCCAAACCTTACTCCTGGAACACAGTGTTGATGCCGACTTTGTCGAAGTAGCTGAAGGCCTCCTTGATGATACTCCGCAGACGCGTCAGGCGCTCGCCTTGCTCCTCCATGATTGGAAACCGAGACTGGGGGCGAAGGAGCCCACACGTAAACACTTCGGGCTGTCGCGATCAAACACCCACAACGGCCGCCAGAATGGGATCTAAGGGTGGATTGATTCCTGTGCGGTTCCTGGTGACATTGGGGCAGATGCTGGGCATCATTTTCCTCCTCTACTCCAAGGCAGAGGCCGCCGGCACACCGGGGAGGATAGGGCATCCATCGCTGTCATTGTGTTTGTGGTGCAGGGTGACCACGTCCGTGCGGCGCTGCCCTTTGACTACGACAAAGAGGAATACAAAGACGCCGAACGAAGGTAGCACACACAGAGGCCAAGCCCCACGGAGATCCATCCATGGTTGCACTTGTGTTTCGCTGCAGTTTTGAGGCGGCGATAGGCTTGTCGATAGCGTTTCTCATTGTGGAGCTGATTGGCCTGCTGGCGGGGGTATCGCTCTTCTTCACGGCCGTGGCGTTCGTGGACTCTCTGCTGCACGGCCTGGGGTGCGTCCTGCTGGTCATGTTCATCACCAACGAGTGGCGCAGCGAGACTCTGTGGATACTTTTCCCTTTCATCAGGTGGGTGCGAAGGGGCCAGCACCGCACTCATGGCATGGATGTGAGCAGCAGCCAGAAACCCTCTCTCTGTGTGATGTGATGTGATGTGATGTGTGCAGTTTGGTGCCCTTTGTGTGTGAGGTGTGGGCATTTGTGGCCGTCTTTGGGCTGCAAGTGATGCCATATTGACGCGCCAACAAAAGACCATATGTATTTCATCAAACTAATGCACGAATGAATGCGTGTCTGTCCGTGCCAAAATCTATGCGCACTGACCTCCACATGCACACACACACACATATGCAATCGGCTGGCTGCGTCAGCCACATGGTTCTCCCACTGCCCACCCGTATAAGCAAGCAAAGCAAGGATGCAAAACATTCGGGCGGGCGGGCGGACACCAAATCGTGTGTCCCTCTCCCACTCCACTCGCGAGTGCTCACGCAACACGCTCACGACAGGCATGCAGAAACCAACCCACACGTCATGACCATCCAGACCCGAAACCCCACACTCCCGAAGCAACAGAAACGCAGGCGGCAAGAAAGCTCCCTCCCACTCGGCATCTCGCCCTGCCTGCCGATCGTCCCTTCGTCAAGGGGACGATGGAGTCCGGTCGAGATGATCAAGAGAGGGCTGCCTTTCTGCCTGCCGTCCTCCCCATTGATCGATCCCCTCACTCACTGTTGGTTCTATCTATTTGCCGTTGGCCTGTGTGTTTTGCAGCTGTGTGATGGCCTCCGCCAGCCGCTTGACGCCCACCTCGATGTCCTCGGCGCTGTAGTAGGAGAAACTCAACCGCAGATACGAACCGAAGCCCTGAACCCACACATGACACGCCACACACATGACACGCCATGAGCAATACAAAGTGGCGGGGTGTGTGTGTGTGCACACCTGTCCGAACGAAGTGCCCGGCAGGAATCGCGCCTTGTTCTTGACGGCAACATCCAGCAGGTCCGTCGACAGCATACCCTGCACACAGGCAGCACCACAGCAGGGCAAGACATGCACACATGCGATGGTGATTTCGCCCTGTTCTCTGAGTGTGCGAATCCAATACAAGAAATACCTCAGGCAGTTTGACAAGGACGAAGTAGCCGCCCTTGGGCACCTCGTGCGTCACGCCAGCTGGCATGTACTTGTCCAGTGCAGACTGTACACACACACACACACACACACCACATTCAATGGGTGGTGGGTCGGGTGAGCCGTCGGTGAGTGCGTCCTTACACACCATGAGTATGTTACACCTCCTGTGCAGTTCTTCCTGCACGTAGGCCAGGTGCTTCTTCTGCAGTCCCAGGTCGATCGCCTGGTGCACGATGCCGCTGATCACCGGATTGATGCCCTGACACGCACACGGCACACACAGATGGATGGGCAGTCAAGACACACACATGTCTTTGTGTTTTGTTTGTCGGCCACTCACTGACCCCGCTGGAGTCGAGTTGTCCGCAGTCGATGATGGGTTTGAGTATCTTCATGGGCCCCTGCATCCACCCCAGCCGCAGGGCGGGCGCCAGGATCTTCGAAAACGACCCCAATGACACCACACGCTCCTTCTTCTGGTCGTAGTACGGCATCGGCAACGGACTCGGCACACCTGGTTGGCTCACCAAATGAACGGAGGAATGCATGCTTCCGTGGTGATTCATTGACTACGTGTGTGTGTACCTGGGAATCCGAGAAGGTGGTAGACCTCGTCTGCGCAGATGACGAAGTTGTATTTGTAGGCGAGCTCGACGATTTTCTTGCGTCTGTCCTCAGCGAGTGTCCTGCCGGTGGGGTTGTGGCCGATGGGGATGGTGTACAGGAACTTGGGCACCTGCTTCTGCAGCTGCTTCTCCAACTCCTCGGGAATGATGCCGTCCTGACACACACACACGCACACACACAGATGAGTGGGCCATTCACATACCTCTCTCCCCCGGGGTGTGTGTGTGTGTGTGTGGCACCCACTAGTTAGTTACCTCGTCCATGGGAATCTGCACGACGTTGAGTTTGAAGTCCTCAAAGATGCGGAGCGCCAGGAAGTATGACGGGTCCTCGGCAAACACCAAATCGCCAGACCGACAGAAGATGCTGAATGTAATCGAAAGCACACAGACAAGACAACACACGATGCGGCTGAGTGCACTCACTGCCTACGGGCCCCGCCTGTCTTGTTCTCCCTTACGTGATGAAGAGCGCCAGCCCGCCGGTTATGCCATTGGTGACCATCAACTCATCCGGGCTCACGGGCGCACCATATTGCTGAATACACGAAAAACACACACAAGCAAACCACACGACACACAGTGACCTCCATGAAGCCGGCCCCTCACACACAACACACACAGACGCACCTACCTCAGTAAGGAATCCCGCGAGTGACTTCCTGAACTCCAGGTAGCCTGGGATGTCGCCGTACTGGAGAAACTTGGGGTCGGTTTCTGCGAACTTGGCGTTGGCGGCCTGCCGCACCAGGTCGAGCGGCAGCAGCGTGTGGGGCGACGGCTGGCCGACCTTGAAGTTCACCTCCTGATCCACCGGAGGCACGTCATACTGACCGTAGCGAACCATTGTCGGCAGGGAGATAGATGAACTTGCTGATGCTGGAAGCTCTCGACAGCAGGGTTTCAGGGTCAAGGGCTTAGCTCGCGTACGGGCGGGGTCGTTCCTTCCCTCTCTCCCCTTCCTTCACAGTTCGGCAGCTGGGGCGACTCACCTAGCGCGGCCCCATCCGACAATCGACAGCCGCGGCGCAAAGAGTCATCTTCTGAGAGGTCTCATCTCGCGGGTCATGCATGCCTGACCAGCCCACCCATCGATGCGGCGGCGTCCACAGCGGATCACACCCCTGTTAGTGGTGGCCACCCTGCTCATATTTGTCCAGCCATCCATCTGGCGAGGCGTGCGTGGCGAGGTCGGCAGCAAGGAGGAGAGGCAGCGGGGCGGCCGACGTTCCAAAGAGAATGGCGGCGGCAAAGAGCTGCTCGAGAGGCGGGACAACAAGAGGACCGAGGCGACCAAACACACAGCACAGCAGCCGACCGCTCCCACCAACAACGTGAGCAACCAGACACAACGGGCAGCTGCCGACGGTGGCGGGGGTGGGCGGAGTGCTGCCAACAGCACCAACAGCACCAACACCACTGCCAGCACCAACGCCACTGCTGCGAAGGCGCAAGAAGCAGCAGCAAAGAAGAAGGCGGGCATCGTTGCCGATGACGATGGCGGCAAGATATCGCTTGAGGCGGTGATCGACCCGCCCGGGGGAGACCAGAAGGCCGAGAAGATGGGCCACAGGGGCGGCCGGCTGTTCAACGGTCCCATTCTGGGAGGCCGCTTCGACGATGACGGGCCAGATGAGCCGGAGACCGCCGCGTACCAGGACGACTACTATGCTGACACAGACCCTGCCATGGATGTCGGGCACAAGTATGACAGCCACTACACATACGACGACACTCATCCCATGCTGCCCGACCACCACACGTCGCACAAGAAGATCTACTCGACCACCGAGATGGACGCCTACTACCCCGACGAACACAAAGATGGCTTCGACGACTACGGCTACGACCACAAGATGGACCACCACACGGAGTGGGTGGAGGTGCCCGGCAAGCACCACAAGGGCAAGGAGCACGTCTACGAGGTCCATCCCAGCCCGGTCCGCAAGACGCCTCCGCCCCCTCCACCCATCCCAGAGGCCACACCGCCCCAAGAGAAGCCCACAAAGAAGCCGAAGCCCAGCGGGTCTGAGGAGATTCTGGAGCAGGCCCAGCCGGCGTGCTGCGTCGACGCTGAGATACGGCAGTACAATTGTCCGTTCGCTTGCTGTACGGTCAAGGACGGTCACTTCGCTGACAAGGACGTCTGGGACTGCGGACGGGTGGGCAGATGCCATGGCAACACACACGCCACCAACACACACGACACACACATGTATGCGTTGGAATGTTTCAGATTCCGAACGAGCTGGATGCGGCCTTTGTGCGTCACGTGATCCGGCTGACCGACCAGGTGCCCCAGTCCTTCAAGACCGACTCACAGCAGGTGGACATCACCGTCAGGGCCCTTCACGTCATCAACTCGCAAGATCCTTCCCTCACCGAAAACGGCACCAAACCGCAAGTGGGCTTCCTCCGCGCCGGCCTGCCATCGGGCGACCTCTGCGGACCAGCCGACGGCGAGGGCGAAGGGAATGGACGGTCCCCACCCCCTGTGTGCCCCGAGCAGCTGTCGGCTATGCAGAAGGCATTTGCTCGTCTGCTGCCCCCCGACTCGCCCACCGCGACGCCCACGCAGCTGTGCAAGGCCTTCCTGGGCGGCAGCAGCTTCAAGCAGACGGACTTCGGCCTGGCCTCGACGGTGTTTTTGAACATCCAGCCGGCACCCACGAGCAACGGAACCACCCCGACGGGCATGGCGGGAATGGCTGCCAGTGCTGAGCTGGCCATGATGGCTCATGCGTCTCCTTCCGACGTCACGGGCAATGATGGTGGCCACAACAGCACCGACGCGAGCAAAGACAGAAGCACAAACACGAGCGACGCGAGCAGCAAGCGGGAGTTGGCGGTGGTCCTTGACGGCGACAAGGCCATCTCGATGGCTGGGGTGCACGTCGGCCACAGCAAGCAGTACACCAAGAAGAAGATCCTCCCCGTCCGCGACAAACAAATCGGCGAACGCAAGATCCGCACCACGCGCAGGGATCCGCCCAAGCCACGCGTGCCTGAGGGCGCACCCGAACCTGCCGACGATGAGCCGCCCGACGAGCCTTCCCCCAAGCCCACACCAGCAGCCGAGGAGGATGTGTTGAGTGATGTGATAGGGGAGGGGGAGCCCGAGGGGCCGTCGGTGCTCGTGGTGGAGCTGGGGGCTGCACTCATCTTCTTCGGCAGGTGAGTAGTGGACAACGCACAGAGAGGGGTGGAGGAGGAAGGAGGGAGAGACACGACGTATGTGTGTGTGTTGCGTCTGTCTGTCAGTGTGGCGACGGTGGTGGAGGGCCCCGTGAGCAACCAGGGAGTGCTGTACATGGACGAGGCACTCGACCGGCCGGGCTGTGTGACCCAGCTGGGGCCCAGCCCCTGCCGGGTGCCCTCCCTGTCGGCCTACGGCAGCATCATCGCCACCGAGCCCATCCGTGCGCTGTGGCTGCAGATCGGGGTGGGGGCGCTGTCACCCCCCACTCGTGAGGTGTGGGAGGGGGTGGTGGAGTGGGGCAACGACCTGCCCAAGAACCAGTTCAGCCAGATATCCTTCTTCGGTGACAGTGTCGTGCAGACCATCAGGCCAGGAACGGCATTCTCATTTCGGTGAGAGGTTGGGCGGAGGGGAAGGTGCAGATTAGGCACCACTGCATGTGTGTGGGTGTGTTTGCGGTGTGTGTAGGAGGATATCATTCCCCTTCAGTGACACCAACTCGACGAGTGTGGCGGTGCCGTCAGGTGGGCAGAGTGCGGGCCTCGTCATCTATGTGGATGTCTTCGACACTGACGGCTTCGTCGGATGCTGCGAAGGTGAGTGGGGGGCAGACACATGCAGACGTCGCACGACATGTGTGTGTACGCCTTTGTGTGTGTGTGTATGTGTGTGTGGTGCAGACGTGTTTGTGGACGCCGTGGCTCAGTTCGACGTCAGCGGAGTGCCGCTGCGTCTCGCGAGATACCACAATCTGCAGAAGGACATCGGCGAAAGAATCGGGCCGGCCGTAAGCAAATATGATTGAAACGGAGAAGCGCTGCGGCACTCACCTCACCCACCGCGTTGTGTTTGCTCCACCCATTCCCCTACCAGATATCAGAGCAGGTGGTGATACGTGGCGACGTGATCGTCACCGACCAGTCATTCGCTGGCCTACCAGCAACCATCCCATCCAGCAGAGTCCGGCTGGTATATGCGCTTGGCCACCACACACGCATCTGCCATGCCATGCCATTCTTACACACCTGCCTTGTGTGTCCTTGTGTGTCGTGTCAGACGAACGAGGAGCGTCCTCAGATGATCGGCGGCCCCAACCGAGACATCTTGTATTTCCAGTGCCGGCAGACGTGCACCATCACGCAGCAGGCATTCGCCAACACGGGCGGCGGACAAAGCGCATTCGTCGAGGTCAGCAAAGAGGTCGCTCGGGAGAGGGGCACGGATCATGTGCCTGTCTCTTGCTCTCTCTCTGTGCGTGTGTGTGTGTGTGAGCAGATAGCGCTTGATCTGCCTCGCGACAGGGTCGTGTTGGCATAGAGAGACATCAGGTGTCTTGTGGCACGTTGACGAATCGCAGGGATGGGGGGTACAGGCAGGCAGACATGGGGGGGGTACAGGCAGGCAGACACCTTCAGGCAGCATGACCCATGTATGTGTGTACATATGTGTGTACTGACTGCACTTTGTTGCTCTCCGTTGTGTGTACATCGATCGCTACGTGTGTACGTTTTTTCCCCACCCACCCATGGCCACCCAGTGAGTGCGTCCATGCCATGCGTGTGTCGAGGTCTGTGTGCACTCTGTGTATATGGCGCTCTCCTTTACTTAGCTCTCCCCAAAGTGTGTATCTCTCTGCACACACACACTCACACGCACATACATCACATCTACACATTTGTCTGTCCACACTTCGGTAGCCAAGTGCATATGAATGAGTGCCTAAGGTGTGTGTAGTGCTCGCTTTCTGTAGTCAGGTTGCGTACTCGTCTAGGTTGGGTGGTTGGCTGGCCGCTACAGCTCACGAGGGCAGAACCTCAGTGTGAGCTCCCCAGCCCCGTTCACTAAGGCTTTGTAGTCAGGTTGGTTACATAGTTACGCACGAACTTATGTGTGTCAGTTTGTGTTGCAGACAGGGAGGTCATTAATTGTGGATGTGGACAGGGTGCGTGTTTCTATATATTGGTCGCCACGCCGTGTGTCCGTGTGCTTTCCCGTGATTTGTGTGTGAAGCAGGACAGCCATTTCTGGACACGCCGACATGATTCATCCATCGCACACGCCAAACTGACTGATATTCATTGATATTGATTGAAAACACCAGAGGGTTGTCATTGTCACCCAGTCGACCACTCTCCCTCTCACACACACTCACTCTCTCTTTCGCTCTCTTGACAGACCTCATACCATTACACACCCACACAGACCTCTCAGCAGAGTGTTCCTCATCTCTCCCATCCCATCCAGCGATTTTCTATCTAGCCGCGTCCCCTCCCCCCTCTCCCCCCTCTGAACCCCGCCGCAGCAGCGCCCCTCTGCCGCATGGCCTGTGCCCTCCTCTGTGCGCCCAGTCCGAGTGCCCTGCCCCTGCCCTTGGGACCCACAAACTTGAACATGGGTGCGTGCCGCAGCATGTCGGGCAGAATCAGGAAACGGATCTGGCTGCCGCGGATGTACAGTTGCTGCACACAGACAGGGTCACACGGACACACAAACAAGGGGAGAGGGAGAGAGAGAGAGATGCGCATGAGGGTGGGTGCGTTCATCCTGTCGTGTGTGTGTGTGTACCTCGAGTTGTGACGTCTTGCCGTCCTTGGCGGTGACTGTGATGGACTCGAGCATGATGTTCATGTTGTCCTCGGCATTTTGCTGCACATAGACACAACACACCCAGAGAGAGCACATGCATTCTGCTTGATCTGACTCTCAGCGTCTGTCGTCCGTGTGTGTGCGCATCTGTGTGTTGCCTAGGAAGGACATCGTGCATGGCCTGATCTCCCACCAGAATGCCTCTGAAGAGCTCTCCCGATTTGGTCTCCACTGTCACGGTGTGTCCGAGCCCTTCGTACAGCACCTTGATGGGAATGCCGACCTGCGCCATCCTTCAACGAACCGCTGCGCACCTCAGAATCCCTTCCCTCCGCAGGCTCAGCTCGCAAACGGTGTTCGACGGCCTAGGACATTCCGTAAAACTGCTCTCGCGGCTCTGTCGCCCCTGCGTTATTCTTCCTCACGAGGCTCTGCACCGTATTGAAGTCTGACTTCTATGCGGTGCAAAGGCTCTGCCGCATCGAAGTCAGGCTTCAATGCGCTGGAGAGCCTCCTGAGTGGGAATGATGCAGGCGCGATAGAGCACGCCGGGACCGCTGCTACTGCGACCAGCCTGATGACGCAAAGATGAAACTGGGAAGCGTCTTCGTCCCGGTCGCGATTTGCTTCTCTATCTTGCAGGTGAGTCAGATGGCCACGCATCACAGTGCATTGTCCGCATCACATGCAGCTTCCATCTCATTTGCTTTGCCTCTGATCTGACGGCTGCGTTTGTGTCCTTTCAGTCTGTCTGCTTGTCTGCGGCGTCGCCATGTCAAGCACGGGCGGAGAGCGGCGGCTGGGAGGCGTCGGCAGTCGCAGGTCGACGATGACGAAGGCGAGGCACCAGAGGCATCTTTCGCCCGATGCGACAGCTCAGTGATGAAGACATTGTGGTTGGTGCTTGTCAGTCTGGCCTTCACCCTGCACTTCGACGACCTGCCGCTCGTCGAGCGCGTCGCATCCGACAACCTCAGTGTGGTGTGCTTCAACTCTTCACAAGCCGACTCCCCCACCCCAACCACACAGAGGCGTATGCGCTCTACATGGCTGTGTGTGTACTGTGTGTGTGTGTGTCTTGGTCATCTGTGTGGGTGGTGGGAGGTAGGGGTGCATTATATACTGAGTTGTAGGTCTGTCTTGTGTGTCGGTCGTGGTCGTTCCTTCCTTCGATCATCGGAGGTATGGATGGCCAGAGTGTCTCTCTTGACTTAGTCGTGCGTGTGTCGGCTTGCCTGAATCAAAGGTGCTCGTTCTGCCCTGGCCACTGATCGCTTCTTGTCGCAACACACATACCAGTAGAGTGACTTTTGTGTGTTGTGTGCGCATGCATTGGAGGGTTCATTTGGCGTCAATGAAGAACGTTCGGTTGTGATGTGGGCGAGCTGGCTTAGTGCGAGGGACGTATTGCATGCTCTGTGTCTCAGTCAGGGCTTTCTGTTGCCTGGGTGGACGACTGGCTGTGTGTGTGTGTGTGTGGGACTCGACTGGCTGCTGAACGGACAATGGCGCCTGCACGGAAGGTGTCAGTTGACAACAGACAGACAGACAGACAGACAGACAGACAGAGGGCATCACAGCCGGTCTGGTCCACACGATGTGCAGTTAGCGCACCTGGTGGGCTGTGAAGATCCGCGAGCCATCATGGTCCGTGACTGCGTGGTGGTTCCTCACAGCTTACCACTTAGTCGGTGTGCCTGTGCCAAAAAGCCGAGCACTCACCTTCACACAAACACACACAACTTAACTACCAGAGACCGTCCCACATCTTCACCGCATCACCCCACCAACCCAGCCCCAGGGCTCCCGACACGAACGGACTCATTTAAGACGACAAGAAGCCCTTAAATGCACACGCATGGCAGGCAAAAACGAAATGTCCTGTGAGTGAGTGAGGGTGTTGCAAATACCACACCCACAGACTCCCTCTCTCTCTCTCTCTCATCCAGACACCCTGCCGTACGAAACGTACCTTCCTTTGGGCAGCATGACAAGCACACAAACATACACATACAATGAGCGGGATCGACGGACATCCACACGCGCATCGCATCGCATCGCATCCAGTCGGATTTTGCAAATGCACACACAACACATACCCACACACATGGCATGGACCCATCAACCCATGTTAGTTAGAATCCACGTCTCGACGTCTCGACAGTGAGATCGATCACGCCTCACCTCACTCAGGTCAGGTGCTCACTCACTTCATCCAGTCGGCGAGCGACAGACGATCCAGAGGGTTCCTGGGGATGGTGGGCGGGTTCTTGGGGATGAGGACGGGCCGAGGCTTCCTCGGGGTCACAGTGACGGAGTTGCGCCGCGAGTACTGCATGGGATACACCTCCCCGCCAGACACCAGCCCATAGAGGCATGGCTCTTTGACACGGTGAGCCTGATTGACGCACACACGCCGGGGCACATGCGCTGGGTGCATTGCATTGCCATTTCGGTTGGCCCATGCACTCACTGCACTTGCCTGCAGGCACTCGATGGCGTCCTCGACCGTCTTGAACTGGATGAAGCAGATGTGTGAGACGCGGCGCACATCCAGGGGTGAAGGGCCGCTCTCAGGCAGACCCTTCAATCATACAGACAGACAGACAGACAGACAGAAGGACGCACCGCACAAGGACACGACACCCAGGGATGAGATGCAATGCAGGCACCAGTGCCAACCCACCCCCCCATCGACCGACCTCTGTGAGCAGCTTCTCCAGTTCGGCGAGACTTTTCTCGTAGGGCCAGGTCTCCATAACTATCTGCACATCCATCTCACACAACCAACCCAACACAGGTGGCCACAATGATCCGTGCGGTCTCGTTGGTCGCCCACGGTGTTTGTTGGCTGGCGAATGGGGGGGCTGCTGCCTCGCGCAGGCGGCGACCGCGGTGGCGATGGCGAGGGCGACCGAAGCCGACGTCGCTTCGGTGTAGTGCTACGTCTGGCACACAGGCAGCCAGCCAGCCACCAGTATGTGTGTGTACTGATTGACACACCCCTTGTGTACTCACGAGCGGTTCAGGATGTTCCCTGGGAAAGGGTCAGGGTTGGAGTTGCGCCTCGAATACTGCAGGCCATAGACCTTATCGCCACACACGAGCCCATAGGCGCACGGCTCGTTGACACGGTGCGCCTGACACACACACAAGCACGCCTGTTTGGCTCACTCCCCTCACTTATTCACTCACCCGCAGGAACTTAGTGGCGTCGTCGACGGTCCTGAACTGAATGAAGCACAGCCTCTGAAGCGCAATGCTGTCCCCCGCTTCTCGGCGGACATCCAAAGGAGGATGGCAGCTCGCAGGCAGCCCCTACAGACAGACAATTAACACACAAGCGCGCGGTTCATGTCGATGTGCGGGCGGGTGCCCTCACACGTACCTGTGTGGCCAGTTCCTCCAGCTCAATGAGGCCTTTGTCGTTAGGCCATCCGTCAACCACAATCTGCACCCGCGTCACACACAGATGGCTCCTTGAGTGCTCGTGTGTGGTCTTGTTGGCCGCGCACGGTGTTTGTTGGCTTGCGAATGGGGGGGCTCCTGCCTCGCGCAGGCGGCGACCGCGACCGATTGCGACGTCGCTTCGGTGTTGTGCTGCGCCTGACAGACACACACCCACACAGCCAGCCACCCATATGTGCGTGTACTGATTGACATAAAGCCTCTCGTCACTCACAGGAATGGGCTGCTGACGGAGTTTCGCATCGAGTACTGCAAGGGATAGACTTTCTCATCACGCACCAGCCCATAGCCGCACGGCTCATTGACACGGTGCGCCTGACACACACACACACACACACACACGGACACGTGTGTGGGTTGAGTGCGGCCTCCCTCGTTCACTTTCTTTTGAGCCATGCACTCACTCACCTGTAGGAAATCAGCGGCGTCGTCGACCGTCCTGAACTCGATGAAGCACAGCGGCTTCTGGGACGCCCCTGCCGCCGCTCGCCGGACGTCCACAGGAGAAGGACAGCCGTCAGGCAGCCCCTGCACGTTCGCATAGAGGGAGGGAGGGACACTCACTCACTCAGAAGAGATCACTAACTGTGGCCAGCCGGCAGGTTACCATGGACGAAAGCGCATGTCCATACCTCTGTGGCCAGTTTCATCAGTTCCGCCAGAGGCTCATTGCTGGGCCACATGTGTACTACTACCTGCACCCATCTCATCTCACACACGACACATACATACAGGATGGATGGATGGACGGTGGCTGCTCGACTGTGTCTGTGGGGCGTTTGGCTGTGTACCTACCGTGTCTGTTGCCGTGCACAGCGATGGCGACCGATTGAGGCGGATGGGCGAGAGCGACCAGAGATTGCGGGGGACCCCTCTTTGGCGTCGTGCTGCGCCTGACACACAACACAACGCAACACACCACAGCTCGCCACAGCACCCAGTGTGTGGCCATCTTCATCTGAGGGGACGCAGGTAGGTACCTCACCGTCGCATGTCTGCAGACACAAACAGACGGACACAAATGGTGTGTGTGTGGTCGAGTGCGTCTTTGCCCGCCTAGCTCACTCACCCTGGCTGTGGGGTGACCGGTCGGACCGCTCTCGCCGCTTGCTGCTTTGGCGAGGACGGGAAGGGGATAATGGCGAAGACGGCGAACGACCCTGATGGATGCACACACGTGAGACCCTACATGAGCCTGCTAGTTGTCGCTCGTGTGTTCATGTAGGTAGGTACTTGTCGGTTGTCTGTCTGTCGTCGGTCGTCCCGGTCGTAATAATCCTCGTCGCGAGGGGAAAGCCGCCGGTTGCTGCCGCCCCGCGAGACGGTACGGAGCGCTGCACAGAGAGATGAGATGAAGGCAGTGCAGACACGGTCATATTGGCATGGTTCACTACTTTGTCTCTGTCTCATGTGATATGCCTGCGGTGTGTGTTTGGCTTACATGGGCTGCGACTGTCACGGCCGTGTCCACCATCCTACACACATCCATCCATTCATCCCACACACAGACAGCAAAGCACAGCACACGGGCGCAAATGCCGCACCACTCGACCTGCGTACATTGTCACGTGAGCGCGAGCGACGGCGGCTGACGGACGGACGGACAGACAGACAGAATGGATGGATGGATGGACGATGCATGTGCTCTGCCTGTCTGGCGTGCCAGCGTACTCTCTGTCCCTTGACGGCTCTCTGGAGTGGCCACTGTCATACTTGTCATCGTACTCATCGTCATAGCTGTCTCGGCGGCGTCTGGTTCTGTCGACAGATGGCGACATGCTGCCGCCTGGGGAACGAGAGCGTTCACCAGAGCCTCGGCCGCTGTCTGCTGCTGGGGGTGGGACGTCTGGGTGAGTGAATTGCCAGAGAGAAAGAGCATATCACACCAAGCTTGGTAGGGATGTCTGTGTGTGCGTGTGCATCCCTACCTCGAGGCGGGTGTCCATTGTCTTGCTCGCGCTGGGCGGGTGGCTCCTGTTTGACGGCAGGCGGTGCAGTGGGCACCCACAGACGGCCCTGCATTGCATGTGCGTTCAATTCACCACACACAGAACGGACGCACACCCCACGTGTGTCGAGTGGAAGGTTGAGTGGGTGACCTACGGCGTGTTCATTGTAGATGTGTTTGAGCCAGTTGCAGAGGTCGAGTGCCTGCCCGCGGAACTGGGGCGTGTTGCCCAGGCAGTCGCTGTTGATCTGGGTGGCCGTCTTGCCACTCATCGTTGCCAAATGAGAACCCTTGTACCGACTCTGACAGATTGATTACATCCATCCCACCCACCCATATATCGTGAATCGCCTCGCATCGCCTCTGTGTGTATCCCACCCCACCCACCCCACCCACAAACACACATACCTCGATGACAATCTCCAGAACGCTCTTGGCCAGCTCGCTGTCATCTCGCTCGAGCGCCTTGACCAGCTGGTGGTGGTCCAGGTTGATCAGCTGACGCTCCACGCACCCAGCAGGCGCCCTCTGCTCCGTCGGTGACTGCCTGCGGGCTGTGGAGATGGGGTCGCCTTCCTGCTGATTGCCACCCCCACCACCACTCGTGGCTGCCCCAGCCTCAGTCTTGACTCGGACGCCAGCACCCTTCCGCACGCGCCTTCCCTCCCTCTGCTGCTGCTGCTGCTGCTGGTGGTGGTCGTCATCAATGACGATTGCCTCTCGCTGCTGGTTGCAAGCACGGCGCCGGGCCCCATCAGTGCGTCCTGGCAAGCGCCGAAACAAGTACCACATTCTGACTGTATCCATCATCATGGCTTGTCGCTCTCTCGACATACCTGAGCCCCGAGCAGTGCGCATCGCCCCTCCTACGCGCTTGCCGCCCACCCCTCCCTCGCTCCTGCGCGACACAGAGTCCGACGGGAGTGGGTTCTCGTCGCCACTCGGCACAGTTGCATACCTGTTGTCGCCATTTGGTGGTGCCGGTGGTGCTGCGGCGGCCTGTGCTTGTCCGTCCCCCGCCTGACTGTCATCCATCTGTCGCTCCTGGTCTAGCATTTGCTGGTCGTCTTGCATCGGCTGGTCCCCATCGGCAGCTGGGGGCTGTTGCGGTGGTGGGTATGTGACGCCATGGTGCTGGCCGACGTGCATTGCTGCATCCTCAGGGGGGGTGGGGACGCGCACGGGGGGCCGCACAGCCATGGGGGCAGCGGCAGGCGGCGGGATGGGGCGAGGGCAGTGCGGCATCGCTGACGCGGATGACACAAACGACATCACACACCCATGTTATGTGTGGTGGATGCAGTTCACTCTCCCACCAGTCACCTGGGTGGACGAACGCTCCGTTGTGGCTTCCTGGCGGCAACGGGGGACCGCTCACGATGATGCCGCCGTGACCTGTCGGCAGCATGAACGCATCGAGGCAAGTATGGGCGGTTGTTTGAGGTCGCCTGTCTGTTCCTGTGTGTCTGAGTGTACCGTAGAAGAATGGTGGGGGCCAGAATGGGGGCTGTGGAGGGCCGTACGGGCCCATAGGAGGCCAGGGTGGGTAGGCAGATGCTGCTGCATCGCCTCCCTGGCCACCAGGAGGGGTGGCGTACGCTGAACACGGAGAAGATGAGGTGGCTCTACTGCTGTTGTTTGTGTGGGTGTCTGACTGACTGACCGGCGGATGGGTCTTCCATGTCGTGTGGCTCGGTCTTGGTGACGGTGTCCTGTGCGCCGTAGTAATGGTCGCCCCCCTCCCCCTCCTCTACCGCTTCCTCGTTCTCGTCACTCACTGAAGTCCACAACACACAACGCAACACATCTTCATAGACAAGCGACGGTCTTCACCTTCACCCTCCTCCCGGGCGTCCTCCTCTCCACCCTGGTCGTACTCGTCACCCACTGAAGGAACAAACAAAGGAAACACTACACGGCACATCCCTGGGCCACATGATGCGGTCGGTGTGTGTGCCCGTCCGGCTTACCACCTGAGAGGTCTGCTGCCGCGGCCGTGGCGAACCTTGCTGCCGGACGATGACCCGCACCAGCACGATGCCCGTGATGGTAGGGTGTCTGTGGCGCTTCGGATGACACTCGCCTTGGGGCTCGCGAGGCTGTTCTGGCGAGCTCTTGCTTGACGTCTGCACACCCTGCTGACAAACAGCATACAGCACAGAGAGCACACAATACATCCAGACATATATACATGCACACACATCGTGTGCATCTGTGGAGGGAATCTCTTCCTGTGGCGTACCTGCGACGCCCCGGCTGCTCATGACAGGCGGATCTGGCCCTCTCAGACTTCACTCACCGCCGCGAGCCCGGCTGGCGTGTGCTTGTGAAATGGCAATAAGCGAAAGAGATCAATGTATTTCACACTCAGCAGATGCGATGACAGACAGCCCCGCCACCGCCACGGACGCTCAGACGCAAAAATTCCTCTCTCCCTTTCTAAGCTCGCACAAAAGCTCGCCAGGGGGTGACAAGTGCGTTTTCCCGATGCCAGCGACTGCAGCAGCCTCTCCCGTGCCGATGAGTACGCAGCAGTCATCTGCCGACTGTTTCCGTCTGAGTCTCAACCTGTTCGCGTCATGCACCACCCCTCGCTCCTCGGCGGCAGATCCGTCGCGCTTCCGCGGCGGCATGCATGTGGAGCTCTACGAGGAGACCTTCCACGACAGACACCCGCGCGACACCGTCACCCACATCACCCTCGCTGACCTGGACCGGCCGCAGAGCGAACTCGGCGACTTCGACATGTACAGCGACGACGGCCTCTCCATCGACTGCACGGCGTCCCACCTTGACGGCACCAACGCGTCCGAGGACTCGGTGCGGGTCATGAAGAGCGTCGGCCGGCCGGTGGTGGGGGCCACCGCTCGGTGCCACTCGGTGACCTTCCACCCTCGCACGCCCTACCCAAGCGAGTGGGCGGACTTCGTGTTTGAGAATGTGGCGGTGCCGCGGCGTGAGTGGCCGGTGGTGCTGCCCCGCCGCACCCAGTCGCGATCGGAGCTGTCGGAGGTGGATGTGGACCTCGACGACGGGTGGACCCGGTGGGAGTGATGGATGAGCGGTGGCAGGACAGCAAGTGCTTGTGGTAGCGTAGAGTGGTTAGATGGATTGGTTTGTGTGTGTGTGAGGGAGTGAGTGATTTGGTGGGGTGGGGTGGGGGTGGTTTTACGTACATACCAAACCTGTTTGCAACCATATTCAATCAATGGGTGGTGGACGGGTCGAATGATGGAAATCGTTTTTTGTACCACCAGGGGCAGGCCCTGGTACGTACGAATCCATTGCATGTATTGCGTGTGCGGTGGGTGGGTGGGCGAGTGTTATGTGTGGCGGGAGGGAGGCAGCCACGTGCCGTGCGTGTGGGTGTCGGTGCTGCAATGGACGGACGGGGTTTTGTCAAGGGCTGGCTGGAGTATTGTCGTCTTCAGGCTGTCGACGCGTGTGTGCAAGGGGTTTCTACCTTCGCGGCGTCCTTGGTGTTTCGCCTCGGTTGTCGCCAATCGAGGCGAAAGACCATTAACGACGGGAAGGTAGCAACCCTCTGTCACACATTGCAAGTGAAGCCTCTCACTCGTGTGCGCATGTGCGAAGGGATGGTAGGTGTGAGGCATGGTCAAGGCGTTTGACACGTGCGGCACACAGACAGCCAACACCAACACCAACACCACAACCAACACACAGCACTGACTAGAAGGCTTTTTCCGGTGTTATGCGAATGAATATTAATGCATACACGCATCCCATCGTCCATGCCATGGGGTGTCATGCTTGTCTGTCTGTCTGTCTGAGTGACGCTTTTATCCACTGGATGGATGATTGAATGAATTCATGGATGCTGCCTCCCTACCTGGTGAGTGTGGGTGGCTTATTGGTGGAACATTTATCTACCTTGTTGCTATGCTACCACGATGGATGGATGGATGGCGTTGCCGGCGGTGGGTTTCGCCTTGTCTCAGGGAGCTGGTGCCGAGAGTTTCACCTGATGGCTTCCAAGCCACCAGTCGAAACTCACACATCAGGTTCGTGAGTGCAGGAGAAACGCCACCACTACGGTGACGTGACAGGAAGCATGTATACGTACATCCGTTGCTGACAGTGACACTGATTGATGTCGTGAGATCATTTGAATGTCACTCTGCCACGCCACGCCCAGTGGTCCCCACCATCCCATATGCACAATCCCCCACACCAAACCCATACCCATCGTCAGTCACGCCAAAACTGCATTGTCCCTCACACACCTCCATCAGTCAATCACCTCTCCCTGTGCACCCAGCCCACATTCGGCTGTGGCACCTGCTCGGCGATGGTCTCTAGCACATGACCAGCAGCAGGGGTGGACGGGGCAGCGTCAGCCCGCGACACCGGCACCGTCCTGTATCGGTGTGCCCGTCTGGCGGTCATGGTGTCTGCCAGCTGTATGCGATGCATGTGCAGCTGCTGCAGGCTGTCCTCACACGCTTGGCTGCACGGCGCACACAGACGAGAGGGTAGTGCATTGGTTGGTCTGTGTCTTTCGTGCGTGTGTCACTACCTCTTTTGTATGTCCTCTGGCGCATGTACTTTCTCAAAGATATGGCGCTGCCGATCGTACTCCTGCACACATGGATGCATCCGAGAGAACAAGACACTCAGATACATCACATGGGGAGGTAATGCGCGGAATGAATGCCATACCTCGGCGAACGCAGACACTCTCAAAGTCATGGAGTGGAGCTCACGAAGCTTCTTGTCCATGTAACGCATCATATCGTCACCTGCACAGACACAAAGACAAGGAAAGAGGCAAGCCCCATGATCTCTACTTCACGCCCCCATCCCCTGTGCCGTCCCGCCCCGCCCACCCTCCATCTGGTGTGTGAGCATAATCTGGTGACACACCCCGTTCAGCTCAGCAGCCGTCCGCACCATCTCCCTCACCACACCCTCCACTCGCCGATCACCCTCACCCGCCACCGCCCCTCCCTCATCCCACGCGCCAACACCAACACCATGGCGCGACTCAAACACAGCAGAAGCAGCAGACCGATGGGGAGCAGCAGCCGGGAACTTCATCGCCAAGCTCTGTGCGAGCCTCGCGTGTGCGCCCTGGGCGATCTCGTAGCACTGTAGGTTGGGGACGCTCTGGGAGTTGGCCGAGACGACCCCAGACGTGCGTGCGAGGTGCATGTTGAACTCCCGCTCGCCCATTCTCCGGCCCTGTGGCACCGGCAGGCTGGGCAGCCCCGGCATGGCCATGGCCGTCGCGTGCTGTGTGTCGGGGGAGGGGGGCTGGGAAGCCGACTCGCGGTGGGAGGGGGATGGCCTTTGGTACTGGTAGAAGGATGGTGCTTCGGTTGCTGCTTCTTCCGGCTGTTCGGCCACGACGGATGGGAGGGCCTCGTCATCTCCTCCTCTGAGCAGCCGCCCTGTCACCCCTCCTGCGATAGGTGAAGCGCTTGAATGCCTTCTGTTGGAGCCGTAGTAGGATGCGTGGCCCATTGTGGCGTGGTCCCCTGAGCTCCGCGAGCGCCGTCCTCCCCTCTCCCTCTCCCTGTCGCTCTCCTCCCTCCGATCAAGGTGCGAGTCGTTCTCGCCGGTGCTGCCGAATGGCGATGCCGCCGTGCTGATGGTCTGTGCCAGAGACGCCCGCGCCATCCCTGTTTCTTCTGTCGATGAAGGGTGCAGCGGGGGTGCAGGGATGGGGCGCTCTCTGGCCGTGGTCTTTGGGGAAGGAACGAACTCGCTCTCCAGTGAGTCGGCAGGGAGCGGGGGAAGGGGCTGAGAGCCGTCCGTGGTGTCCTTGGGGGCCGGGTACTCGACTGTCTTGGCGCGGCTCATGGACCGCCTCTCCACCGCCCTTGAGGACAGCTCGGGCTCCTCGTCAGTCCACTTGCGCACACTCCTGGTCCTCCTGTCCTTCCTCTCGGCATCAGCCGAGCTCCCTCGGTTGGGCGGCAGAGACCACTGCATGTGAACTGGCGCCACGGCACGGCGGGGAGAGAGCCGCTCGGGAGACGATACATGGTCCCCCAGAGGCACGTCTGCGCGCATGAAGAGGCCGCTGCCGCCATGGCGGAGAGCCGCTCGCGACCGGCCGGTCTCGTCGACCACATCGATGGTGATGGGGCTCCTTTCCCTCTCTAGGGAGTGGGGAAGTGGCGGGGGGGCTGACGAAGGCGGAAACAGAGGGCCCTCAGGGTCGCCGTGCTCCGTCTTCTGCAACGCGTCAGGGGACACGCGGATGCCGGCCATCGACTGGAGCGGCCGGGGGTGGACAGACACGCTCAGCCGCATCACCGACGGCTGCCTGCGTGCGGCCCTCCTCTCCTTGATGGTGGGGTCGTCGACAAAGACGATGTACTGACGCGGCGAGAGGGGCTGGTCCAGCAGGATGAACCGCGCCACCTCTACCTCCACATAGCCTAGCCGCCTGCCCGAGCCGTCCACAATCTGCAGGAAGGCATATTTCCTCTCCACCGTATGTGTCACTTGGCCGCCAGCACCACCACCAGCACCAGAAGCACCGCCCTTCTCCCCCTGGCCGTGGCCGGCTCTGACGACAGGGAAGGACACATAGGCCACGAACTGCAGCGTGCCTTCACGGTCGCTCCACTCGATGGCATGGCCGTCTCCCGCACTCTTGAGAGCCGTCGCCTGCTCGACGATGCCCTTGCGATGGATCACTCTGAGACCGGCTGTGAAGCCTGGGGCGAGATGGGTGAGAGAGTGGACAATGAGGGTGAACTCGAATCTGCGCATGGCTGGGTGCGCGTGGGTGTGCTTGAAGTTGAAGTGGGGGAAGGGGTGGTAGACCAACGGTAGAGGGGGCGGATGGGCGGGGAGGGGCGGGTGGGGATAGTCGTTGGCCATTGTGTGTCAGTGAACTTGACGATGAATGACAGAAATGCCAATACTGAGGACAACAAAGAGCAGACGGAGCAGCAGAATAAACAACATTTCTTTGCACGTTGTTCGTTGCACGCAGTGCGTGTCAGCCACGCAATGTCGTCCTCTCTTTCTCCTTCTGCCTCTCTGTGTGAATGCACTTGTGAAGTTGAAATTGTCCCTGAAATGGCTATTCTGCTGCTTTGCTGACTTTCTTTGCTTCTTTGCCCTTCCTTGTCTACCTGTGCTGCGCCTCGACGGCTTCTGAATCCGTCCTGAATCAATGCCTTGGCCTCTGAAGCGCCCTCAGGCTCATATCAGCAAAATTACATCAGCAGTGCAGACTTTGCCGTCGATGGACTCAGCAATTGATGGCCGGTTGAAATGAACTCCGGCGATACCACTTCCTGCAAGCTGCGAGCTTAGTGTGGTAAATCTCCGCGCCGGACAGGGCCTGCAGAGGGCCGATATGATGATGCACAGCCCTTCCCACGAGGGCATTGACATCTGCATCTCACCGCCACCCAATCTGACCACCGCAGCCAACCGTAGCACACAGGCACCACCACCGGCAGCAGCAGCAGGAGGAGGCCACCATGCCCATGGCGGTGCGGCCATCAACACGCCAGTAGCAGCCCCTGGAGCAGCGGCGTACGAAGATCCCGATGTGCTGCAGCGATGCCGCGTGTGCCTCATCGACGACAATCATGGCAATGGCGGCGGTGATGGTGGGAGTGTGGTCCACCATGTGGTGCGTCTGCCGCACCCCGGCTGCGGCAAACCGGCCATGTATGTCATCCGCCAGCCACAGCAGCACACAGGGGGGAATGGGGATGGCAACACCCCTGCAGCAGCTGCCGTCGATGTGCTGGAGATGGTGAGCTGCCGCCGGGCGGTGGGCGAGTGCTCCATGTTCGTCGGCAACACACTCATCGCTGGTACCCACAGAGGGACAGGGAGGGAGGGAGGGAGGGAGGGAGGGAAGGCCACATATGGATGGATGGATGGATGGATGGATGTGTGTGTGTTGTGTGTTGCCACAGATGGTCGGCTTCATTTGGTGGTCCGCATCGATCCGCTCTTTCTGTTCATTCCGCTGCTCAAACGCGCCAGGGGAGAGGTCAGGGAGCGACATACACACGACACATTGCACTTCTATAGGAGCCTCTATCTGTGTGTCTGTCAGCAGGGCACCGGTCGGTATTGTCCCCTCACACAGACACTCGACCCACCGCCATCTGACCACCGCACGTCAAACGTGGCCGCCAGCAGCAGCAGCAGCCACACGCACCCATCGCAGCACCAAGATGTCGGCAGCAGCAGCAGTGGTCAGGGTGGGGGCGGCAGCCCGACGGACAGATCGGTGCAGGGGGGTAGGGGTGGTGGCTATAGCTATGAGTACGTTGACAACAGCGGTAATGGCTGCCGCACCGTCATGGCGCAGCTGATGCGCACACAGGACGTCAGACACCGAATAGTACTCATATGCGACACCATCCCCGGTAAGACAGAAAGAGCGGAGGGGGTGGGGTGCATCCATCCGTCCATCCATCCATCCATCCACTCATTGTGTGTCAGGTGGTCCTGATGGTGACGATGTGCCGTTGGTTCGGCTCAGCTATGACAAACTCGCCCAATTCATACAAAAGAAAGTACGTTGTCAGCAGCAATGGCACACACACACAGATTTATGTGCGGTGTGTGTCATGTGTGTGGCAAAGATGGATCGCATCATGGCGGTGGTCAAAGACACAAACCTCTACGTCAACGGTCAGCTTGATGGACACACACAGACACAGACAGCCCCCGTCTTCCTTTGTCTCTTTCTCTCTCTGCTGTGTGTGTGTGCAGAGGTGTGCAGCAGTAGTGTGGCGTCTGCGGCCGACGACGTCGGCGACGACCCCCAAAGCGAGCACACATTCGACATCAACACGAGTCAGCCAAAAGGGCTGCCAAGGACGACATACCCTCCCTCTCTCTGCTCATCTGTGTCGTGTGTGTGTTAAGGTGCATTGAGAGGTGTGGCGTGGGAGTTGGCGAGGGCCCAACTGGAGCCCCAACTTCGACAGATCGTAGCTGACATACTCAAGTAAACCACATGTGTGGGCGTGGGTCTGCTTCCTCCCATCGCCACTGTTCACATGGTTTTGTCAGGATCGACGAGGGCCCCAAGAGTGACCTCGGCAAGCGGCCTGCCGCTGCTGCAGCAGCACCCCCAGCACCCAAACAAAAGGCGAGGCAGATACACATGATGACGCTCAGGCAGACGACCGACGGCTGCTTGTGGGGTGTGGATGTGTGTGTCTTAAGGCGGCCAAGCCGAAGCCGAAAGCCAAACCGAAAGCCGCCAACCCGAGAGGTATAATGTCATGTGCATTGAGACAGGCTGTTGTGTCTCAATGCATTTTATGCCTTCCCTCTCTCTCTCTCTCTGCGTGTGTGTGTGTGTGTGCAGATGTGAAGGGGATGAAGAAGATGACCGACTTCTTTGCAAAGAAATAGACCGCCGACACGCACAAGCACACACATACGGAGCTCTTCACATCGGTGTAGACATGTAGATGCATACACGACATGTCCAGCTGCGTTTATTCTTGTATGGTGCTGTCATATGGACCGGCATATGAAGCTCATTGATGCTCAGGGACACAGTCTGCTTCTGTCCGGCTCACGGATACACGCAGACGGCTTTGTTTTGGCCGGACTGGACAAATATACATACAAACATACATATACACACAAAGATGCCTACGCAGAAGCAAGCAGCGCCATCTCATCTACTACTCTAGATCAAATCAACAGCTGCACAGCGAAGACCTCCTACTGGCGAATGAATATGAAGACACAGATGACACACTGCACATACGCAAAACGCATTCAATGAACTGTACACAGCGCCATCCACACAACGCAATGCAATGCAAAGCACCCGACTCACTCACCCACCCCCTCAGCTGCACAGCTACGATCTGTAGACGGCCCCTGACCTCTCGCGGTCGAAGGTTTTGCGGCACATGGGGCACTCTCTCTTGCGGTACTTGCGCCAGCACTTGTCGCACAGGCACATGTGGCGGCAGGGACTCAGTACAATGGTGGCGCGCTCGTCCAAACAGACCACACACTTCTGCAGGTCCTCGGCCTTCTCCTTGGCCTGCACCTCGAGCTCACGCAGCTGCCGCTCCTGGTCAGACAAACCGGCCAATCGGCCCACTAGCCGGTCGCGGGCAGATGCCAGCTGCTGCAGGGCCTCCTGGATGTCGTTCTGCAGACTGTGGATGCCCTCCTGGTCGGTGTGCTCGAGCCGATCGGCAGACAACCTGATGACAAAGGCATGCATGACGAGAGACAGGCCAGCGATACGTTGGCTTTTCGTTCTTTTAAGCGGCGCCCACTTGTCGATGCTAGCAGAGTCGAGGCAGCCCACGTCTGCCTGCAGCTCGCGGACAGATGCCTCTAACCTGCACACACACAGACAATAGAGAAACACGAAATCTGTGACCCTTTCATCGCGCCGCCTACTCGCGGATCTTCTTGTGTGCGGCGTCCCTCTCTTTCACGGTGCCGTCCAGGCGGGCCTTTAACCTGTGAGGGAAACCAGTCGGCATGTGGCTGAGCGGTGCCCTGTGTGGCTGGATGGCCGCTCACCTGCTCTTTTCGTCACTGAGGGTGTGGGCCTGTCGCTGAGCGGCAGCTATGGCCTCGCCCTTGCTGGCCTTCTCCCTCTCGGCCACCTCTACCTGCTTGTCTAACCTGCACCAGACACAAACCCGTATGGCCGATGCAGCTGTGCCTCGTTAGTGTCCTCACTTGGTGGTCAGCTGCTTGGCCTCCTTCTGGGCTTTGGTGCATTCTTGCTTCGCCTGCTGCAGCGATGTGCTGAGGGACTTGACCTTCTGACGGTCAGGCTCTCCCCTGCACCGCACGTATAAGTGTAGTCTCCTGTTCTCTGCTGGCTGCTTCTTCTCACTTGTTGCGTTCGGCATTCAGGGTGATCTCTGTCTGTCTGAGGGCCTCTCGGGCAGCATCGCGCTCGCGGATGGCCGCCGAATACCTCTCCTCCCAGCCCTTGACGACCTCTCCATACCTGCATTGATCCATCAGACACAGCCAAATGCAGGGAGTGGTGGTGGCGGTCGCCCACCTGGCTTCGCTTTCGATGGGATCGATGTCTGCCGGCCTCGCTGGGGTTCGTGTGGCGTCCTTCATATCCACAGCGTCCCTGCAACCCACCGAACACACAAAACAGTGCTTTCTGTACGACGGTTGCTGCCACCTACTCGGTGGTGCTCTCTGCGGCATCAGTGTCTGGGCGCCTCTCCTCCACTCGTGTGCCTTCCCTCTTGTCCGCAGGACGACCCTTCTTCAGTCTGTTCTTATCGCGCTTGCTGAGGCGCTGTGTGCCCGCTGGAGTGGTGCCAGCAAAACCACAGACAGACCCATCATGCAGCCGTTGTCATATTCCCTGTCCTTTGTCCCTTTCTTGCCTTCTTCAGATTCCTTCAGCCGATCCATGGGCTTCTCCTTGAGCCATCTGGTGGCGAAGAGCAGACGGCGGCGCACCCGCCGATTGGCCAGCAGCGAGGCGACAACACAGCAGAGCACCAGAGCCACAGACCACGGCGAGGAGAAGAACCGCATGAGGTGGGTCTTATCTAAAACCACACAGAGACAGATAAAAAATGGTCTCTTCTTCTTTCTTCCTTCGGCTGACATTCGTGGCTGAGGAGAAACCATCCGAGGCTTCCGTGACCCTGAAAGCACGCAGTCATGCAACCAGTACCATTCCACAGGGGTGAGCTGCGCAGCTACTGTAGAGCACGGTCTGCCTACCTCTTTGAAAGCCTCGCCAGCTGGCATGCGTCCTTTGCGATTTGAAACGATAATCGGATCTGCAGACGCGCTAAGCAGCTTGGTCACTGTATCCCAGCAGCCACTGAACACAGATATTCAAGATCTATGGGGTGTTCAATAGTCCACTCACTCACCCGATTGCAGCAAAATGAAGTGCAGTGATTTTTTCATATCCGACAGCATTGGCATCTGCTCCGGACGCGAGGGCCAGCTCAAGCATTCTCCCATGCCGAGCGTCACACGGATGGGGAAAGCGCCGGGAATGACTGCAGGTGCATGAGGTTGCCCACAGCAACAGTGTCAATTCCTTTGCCATCCGACTACTGTCGGCAGGCAATGGATGCTTCACTACTGCATTGACGTCCGCTCCGTGTCGGAACAACACCTCTACCGACTCAACATGACGCCTGCGCGCGGCCACAAGATGAGGCATCCACAAATCCGGCCGGTGTTCCCTCGCCTCGACACCCGCCGCAAGATGAGGCAACCGGTGTACGGGCTTCACGTGTGCGCCTGAACCGGACTAAAGGGACATGAATGACTCGCGGCCGCATCATTTCGTGGTGCTGACCGAACTCTATGAGCGTTTCCACGACGTCTGGCCAGTCGCCATCGTTGATGGCGATGAACAACGGAGTCTGCAAATTGTTGTCGCGGCCATTCACGTCAAGTGCCCGCCTGCTGCTGTTGGCTGCCTCCATCAGTGTCCTGACGAGTCTGGAGTCACCCGTCGTGGCAGCATAGTGGAGAGCCGAGAACCCCTCGCTATCGACGTCGTCCAGCGCCCGCATGCGAGGCAGCAAGAGCTTCATCATCTGCAGGGGACTCATGCCGTTGATTGCCAACATGAGTGACGTCTTGTTGTCGGGCCTGCCCTCATTCGGGTTGGCGCCCTCGTCCAGCAGGTGCTGCGCCGCAACTACATCCCCCTGAAAGAAAAAGAGAGGATCACACACGACAAATGCAGCAGGCGCTGCCATGCCCCTCACACACCAAGACAGCAGCGTTCTTCAGCGCCTGTACAGCCGCCAGACTGGCCGATGGCCGCCCTGCAAAGCAGAAGGATGTTGACAAACAAATGGAGTGACGGTCGGTGTGGGTGGCTTACCTGCGTGTCCATTTGCTGCAAGGAGGAGGGAGATCAAAAGCAACATCATCATCACGCCATCCCTCTTCATCGCGCCCAAACCTGCGAGCTCATCGTGGAGGAGATCTCGGGGCGTTGCGCACCAGCAGACGGCCTCATTTCGGCACATAGAAGCGAGATCTATCACTTTGTGTCATCAGCGGCCATGGCGCCGTCATCGCGAGGTCCGAACGGCACGCCGCTGAGCGACGCTGCGCTGGTGGACAAGCTGCTGACGGTCATGGAGCAGGAGGTCATGCCCACCACCGCCAAGGGAGTGGAGAAGGGCAACAAGGTGTTCGGGGCCGCCATACTCGACGCTGACTTTCGGGTGGTGGTGGCCAGCACGAACCACGAGGCCGTCTGCCCATTCTGGCACGGAGAGGTCAGTCAGCAGACCGACAGCAAACACAGGGGAGAAAAGAGAGACGCATTCATTCTGCTGGCGTGTTTGTGTCAACCACCTGTGCGCAGGTGCACACGCTCAAGGAGTTCTTTGCCTTGCCTGCGTCGTCCCGTCCGAAGCAGGAGGACTGTTACTTCCTCTGCACCCACGCCCCCTGCCCCATGTGCCTGTCTGCTCTCACCTGGAGCGGCTTCAAAGTCCTGTACCAGTTCTTCTCATATGACGACTCCGAGGGAACGTAAGCAGCAGCCATGCAAGAGCAGAGCCTGGGTGTGACATAACGATAATGTGTGTGTGCAGCTTCAACATCCCCTACGACAACCAAGTGCTGAGGGAGGTCTTCCAGTGCAAGAGACCAAGAAGTGGGTAGAGCGAGATGAATGCACACACACCCCAACACACGGCCCACACGCAATAATGCCGTCCACTGTTGTTCTCTCTGCTTATCTGTGCAGGGTCGACCCCCTACTACGATTCATACGACCTTCGCGAGTTGGTGCAGCATGGTGCTCTGAGTGACGATGAGCGGGCGAGTGCGTGGCGGCGCATCCGGCAGATCGAGAGCGAGTACGACCGGCTGTCGGAGGTCTACCAGCAGAGGAAACACCTCTCCACCAACATCATGCTCAAATGACTGCACTCAGCGAGGGGTGTACATGTCATGTTGTGTGAGTGTGCGTGTGTGTGTGAGAGAGACAGAGAGATGCAGCGGTCTTTTTGCCGCTCGCTTTCGCTTCTTGATCGGATGGAGTGTAGTCTGTCTGTGCGCCCTGGTGGTTGGCTGCATGTGGGTCACTTAGTCCGCCATCAGGCACATGAGGGTTCACGGTCCTTGCACGGATCGTGATCTTTCGGGTGCCTGGTGGTTGGCCAAGTGACGTCACAGCCGCGGACGAGTGGTGCGTGAGGGGTTGGTATCCTATGTCTTGTCATCGTCTGTTGCGAGTTGTGCGGTGCGTGACCTTGTGAGTGACCAGACATACACTATTCCCGAGTCAGGAGCACACTGCTGTGTGCGTTGACAGGGGTTGGGGGAGGCGCGAGCACGGCTCGTCGTGTCGCGTCGGGTCGCTGCCGCGCAGGGCGACCCGTGGGGGCCGAGCACCGCGAGCTCGTGGGCGTCTTCTGCGTTGGTGGCTCGTCGTCCGGCGCAGCGTGTGCGTTTTGTTTCTTTTTGGGCTGTCATTCGTGACACGCAGGTGCCCGGGAGGTGACGCCTGTCACCTCCCGCTGCGCTGTCTGCGGCGCGTGCCAACCTTGCACTGGTTGTCCTTGTCTTGCGGTGGATCTGTGGATCTGTCCGTCAGGTGTGGATCTATCCATCGGGCGGGCGCGAGCGCCGTGCGCGAGCGCCCTGGTGGTGCGGAGCGGCCGGACCCAACGCATGTACGGTAGTAGTACCTGCCCCCAAATCTGCGAGCCCGGCTTGGGGGCCTTTCTTCCTTCCCCTCCCTCGGGGGAACCGCGAGAAGGCGCCATCATGTCGGCCGCTCCCCGCCTACGCATCGGTCGTAACGAGATCACGTTCAGTGAGGCAGACAGACTCGGTGAGCTCCAGACCAGTGCCCACCGATGTGTCAGCTGAATTCGTGTGTGCGCGCCCACCAGGAAGCGGCGGCTTTGGCACCGTTTTCAAAGGGTCATGGAAAGGCCAGCCGTGGCTGTCAAGGTGGTCAACGAGGACATCAGGAAAAAGAAGGATACACATGTGGGCAGAAGCTTGTCAATGACCAATGAAGACAGTCACCGGTTTTTCACTCAGGATCTCTACGACGAAGTCTTGAAGGAGGTGGAGCCGATGCTGCATATCAGGCACCCCTATGTCGTCACCTTTCTAGGCATGTGCTCAGACAAAACGTACGGGCCCATCATGGTCACAGGTGAGGTCTGCTGTCGCGCTGTCTCGATTTGCGTTTTGATTGTTTTCATGGGCTGCACCTCAGAGTTATGCGAGGCTGGCTCGCTGGAGGACTACCTTGAGACAAGAGGACCTCTGTCGGCCACTATCCGCACAAAATTCGCAAAACAGGTAGAAGAGCAATGAGTGAAATGGGCTGAATCAGGACGGTGTCTGTTTTGTTGCTCAACAGATTTGTGAGGGCGTGCAGGCGTTTCACGACAAGAACATCGTGCACCGTGATTTGAAACCTGGCAACATACTCGTGAGCAGGCATATGGAGAGACTCACGCTGGTATCGTCCCTTTGTCTGTTGTTGTGCAGGTGACCGAAGGACTGGACCTGAAGATCACAGACTTCGGTCTCGTCATCGATCTCAACCGCTCGTTGGCATCTGCAGGCGGTAAGCAACGTATGAGGCAAAGACAAACTCGTTAGTGGAGACACAATAGATGCCCTTGTACGATTGCACGTGCAGGAGCTGGTACAATCCTTTACATGGCACCAGAGGCGTTTGATCCCAAGGGTGAGCCATGTGTAAAGGCATTGAGATCGAGTCGAAGCACACCTATCGACCTTTCGTCGCTGTTCTGTGTAGCAGCCAAAGGATTAACAACTAAGGCGGACATCTGGGCCGTCGGGGCCATCATTCTGCAAGTGCACGGCGTCTCTTTGTCACATCTGTTTGTCAAACTCATCCAACTGAGACAGGTCAATTGAACAGAAAAAATGGTATGTGATGAAATGTCACAGCTATTGTCACCGATGGTATATGAAGGCACCCGACATTCCCGAGTCCATCCCTTCGCACGCCAAGGCGATCATTATAGTAAACGGACGTGACCATGTCGATTGCGGCACTTCAGCGACCCTTGTCGTCCCTCTCTCTTTGTGTGTGTTCGATGAATGGATCCACCAGAAGTGTTTTGCCCTGGACCCTGCCGACCGACCCACGGCGGGACAGGTGAATAAGAGCGCGATTTTGGGGAGGACACACATTCAGTGTGTTTATTGCAAATCCGCTTCTCAAGGAGCTGACAAGGACTCCCACGCCCCCACCCAGGCCCACCCCGCAACCGATGATCAAACGCGTAAACACACATTAATGGACACAACGATCACACAATGAGGGACACATTCTTGACTAATGCAGCTGAATCCCGCACGTCAATGGGCCGCTCTTTTGTGCTGGTTGTGTGCAGAATGACATCTTCGAGGCCTCCAAGGCTGGCGATGAGCAGTCCTGCATAATGCTCATCAACAAGGAGGGCATAAAAATCCTCGACAAACGAGAGGGGGTCTTCAAGGTTTGCGCAGTCGCGAAGTCGCCAGAAATGCACTCAATGGTCTGTCGGTGTGCTCTCATTTCTGCGTGCAGAAGACGCCCTTCCTGGTGGCTGCGGGGGAGGGCCACGTGGGCGTCATGTCGGTCATGTATGCGAGCAAACCTGACGTACTGCAGCAAACAACTGTGGTACCTACCGCCACAGACGAAGCACTTTCTGTGCTGCTGCTGGTGGTGATGAGATGTGTTGGGTGTGATGGAATGCAGCGTGGTGACACTGCTATACACAGGGCTGCCGTGAGGGGC